TGAGGTTATAAGGATTAGATATTTGGTTGTGTGAGGTTATAAGGATTAGATATTTGGTTGTGTGAGGTTATAAGGATTAGATATTTGGTTGTGTAAGGTTATAAGGATTAGATATTTGGTTGTGGGAGGTTATAAGGATTAGATATTTGGTTGTGGGAGGTTATAAGGATTAGATATTTGGTTGTGTGAGGTTATAAGGATTAGATATTTGGTTGTGGGAGGTTATAAGGATTAGATATTTGGTTGTGGGAGATTATAAGGATTAGATATTTGGTTGTGGGAGGTTATAAGGATTAGATATTTGGTTGTGGGAGGTTATAAGGATTAGATATTTGGTTGTGGGAGGTTATAAGGATTAGATATTTGGTTGTGTGTGGCTATAAGGATTAGATATTTGGTTGTGTGAGGTTATAAGGATTAGATATTTGGTGGTGGGAGGTTATAAGGATTAGATATTTGGTAACGTGAGGTTATAAGGATTAGATATTTGGTGGTGGGAGGTTATAAGGATTAGATATTTGGTTGTGTGAGGTTATAAGGATTAGATATTTGGTTGTGTGAGGTTATAAGGATTAGATATTTGGTTGTGTGAGGTTATAAGGATTAGATATTTGGTTGTGTGAGGTTATAAGGATTAGATATTTGGTTGTGGGAGGTTATAAGGATTAGATATTTGGTTGTGTGAGGTTATAAGGATTAGATATTTGGTTGTGTAAGGCTATAAGGATTAGATATTTGGTTGTGGGAGGCTATAAGGATTAGATATTTGGTTGTGGGAGGTTATAAGGATTAGATATTTGGTTGTGGGAGGTTATAAGGATTAGATATTTGGTTGTGTGAGGTTATAAGGATTAGATATTTGGTTGTGGGAGGTTATAAGGATTAGATATTTGGTTGTGTGAGGTTATAAGGATTAGATATTTGGTTATGTAAGGCTATAAGGATTAGATATTTGGTTGTGGGAGGTTATAAGGATTAGATATTTGGTTGTGTGAGGTTATAAGGATTAGATATTTGGTTGTGTGAGGTTATAAGGATTAGATATTTGGTTGTGTGAGGTTATAAGGATTAGATATTTGGTTGTGAGGTTATAAGGATTAGATATTTGGTTGTGTGAGGTTATAAGGATTAGATATTTGGTTGTGGGAGGTTATAAGGATTAGATATTTGGTTGTGTGAGGTTATAAGGATTAGATATTTGGTTGTGTGAGGTTATAAGGATTAGATATTTGGTTGTGTGAGGTTATAAGGATTAGATATTTGGTTGTGTGAGGTTATAAGGATTAGATATTTGGTTGTGTGAGGTTATAAGGATTAGATATTTGGTAACGTGAGGTTATAAGGATTAGATATTTGGTTGTGTAAGGCTATAAGGATTAGATATTTGGTGGTGGGAGGTTATAAGGATTAGATATTTGGTTGTGTGAGGTTATAAGGATTAGATATTTGGTTGTGTGAGGTTATAAGGATTAGATATTTGGTTGTGTGAGGTTATAAGGATTAGATATTTGGTTGTGGGAGGTTATAAGGATTAGATATTTGGTTGTGTGAGGTTATAAGGGTTAGATATTTGGTTGTGTGAGGTTATAAGGATTAGATATTTGGTTGTGTGAGGTTATAAGGATTAGATATTTAGTTGTGTGAGGTTATAAGGATTAGATATTTGGTTGTGTGAGGTTATAAGGATTAGATATTTGGTTGTATTATAATTTGGTTGATATTTGGTTGAGGTTATAAGGATTAGATATTTGGTTGTGGGAGGTTATAAGGATTAGATATTTGGTTGTGTGAGGCTATAAGGATTAGATATTTGGTTGTGTGAGGTTATAAGGATTAGATATTTGGTTGTGTGAGGTTATAAGGATTAGATATTTGGTTGTGTGAGGTTATAAGGATTATATTTGGTTGTGTGAGGTTATAATTAGATATTTGGTTGTGTGAGGTTATAAGGATTAGATATTTGGTTGTGTGAGGTTATAAGGATTAGATATTTGGTTGTGTGAGGTTATAAGGATTAGATATTTGGTTGTGTGAGGTTATAAGGATTAGATATTTGGTTGTGTGAGGCTATAAGGATTAGATATTTGGTTGTGTGAGGTTATAAGGATCAGATATTTGGTTGTGTGAGGTTATAAGGATTAGATATTTGGTTGTGTGAGGTTATAAGGATTAGATATTTGGTTGTGTGAGGCTATAAGGATTAGATATTTGGTTGTGTGAGGTTATAAGGATTATATATTTGGTTGTGTGAGGTTATAAGGATTAGATATTTGGTTGTGTGAGGTTATAAGGATTAGATATTTGGTTGTGGGAGGTTATAAGGATTAGATATTTAGTTGTGGGAGGTTATAAGGATTAGATTAGGTTATAAGGATTAGGTATTTGGTTGTGGGAGGTTATAAGGATTAGATATTTGGTTGTGTGAGGTTATAAGGATTAGATATTTGGTTGTGTGAGGTTATAAGGATTATATATTTGGTTGTGTGAGGTTATAAGGATTATATATTTGGTTGTGTGAGGCTATAAGGATTAGATATTTGGTTGCGTGAGGTTATATATAAATATATATATATTTAATCATAGATATTATATGGTAACTACCAGGGAAAGTTACAATATGTTTTGGACCATAATAACCATGAAAACCATTGACAATATTAGAAATGTACACCATACTACATTTTGTATTGCTTTGTTTAATCTACCATTTTTAACAGAAAAGACTATATTCTGTGCATTCAGTTTCTGACAGGTGGGTGTAAGAGTATCAACAGGTTGACATACTTGTTATCACTGCTACCATGATGTGTATTTTGACTTGGTGATGATTCTAAACTAATTAACTTTAACTTTTAATTTGTCTTTCACAAATTAAAACAATACAATAGTGCTGTTTGTTCCATTACATCACACATTTGGTTGCTATGGTAACCTAGTTCTCTTCTAATAGATTGGAAGGAGGACAAAGAAAACGATTATTTACACTCCCAAAAAATGAATTAAGTAATGAGTTGGTTGTAGAAATTCAAAAGAAAGGAAAGATATTCTGAGATTCACGAATTTATCGTGTAACTATCAAAGCCCTATTTAATGCAGTTTCTGTGTCTACCCTGTGGGGGGATGGGGATAGTTGCATAAACATATCTTTCACAAGAGGAGATCACGATAAAGCAAATCTTGCAGAGATGATTCCACTTGATTAAAATAACATGGTTTTATGTTATATTCTAAGTGTACAATATTCCAGTTATATTTCTTGGTAGTCAAACTTCCTCTACTGAGCCTCTGTTGCCATTTGGAAACTCAGACTTTGCAACACATTTTCACAATTATAATGATTTACTCTGAGCCTGAATGATTTTTAATTAGTGAAAACATTTTTACGTTCTTTATATAAAAATGATCTATTTCTCTGTTAATCTAGTTTATACTCTTTTGTTTTTACTTTTTGCAATAACTTAATTCATCAGAGAACTTGTAAATTTTAGTGATCCTCTGAATGTTGATTACGAATATTTATCATTTTCCTGTTTCCTACCAAATTAATATTCCTTGACATCTGTGCTATTTACAATGATAGTGTTTTTGTTGAGTTGATATTCTCTATGTTATTTATTACACATGGTCCAAATCCTTAGCTATTCACAAATTCCACTGTTATTTCAAATGCACCACAAACAAATTAAGGAAAATCAAGTCAAATACATTGAAATACACAAAAAAAAAAAAAAAGAAAAAAATTGTGACTGAAAATTGTTGTAAAATACTTCTGGCCCATAAGTGTACAGATGTCAGGCAGCAATATGGTATTGCATTGTATAATTTATATTGGAGGATAATGATGGGTGAGGCTGTGGGTACAGGCAAAGGAAATAAGGTGATTAAAGTTCTATAATAGAGTTACCTCCCATTTACAGACTAGTTTTATATACAGTAATGGGGGTTATTATATTACAAATAAACACATCATCCCCTCAAGTTTAATGGCTCAATCACAGGTACCAGAGTTTGTGTGTTCGTTTGCCAGGGGTGTGATGATGAGTAATTGAGATTTAATCACCACTTAAAATCGCTAACATATGTCTATCAATCTGTGTCAGCTGGAATTTCCTGAAGGTTCCCCCCCCCCAAAAAAAAGCACTTGATTGATATATTCTTGTTGGTGAAACAATGGCTGGCATTTATCTTTATTAACCCTGACTTCATGCTGTGGGTTTGTTTGGGTTTTATTTCAACAAATCCAAGGGGAATACCTTCAGCCTGTATTTCATCACTGAAATACAAAGGGATTTTATATATTTCTATTGAACATGATTTTTTTCTTTCAGGGAGAAAAGTTACATGGAAAAGAGCATGATATTTCAATGGACACACTAGATTCTGTTTGTTATGTAAAAGGAGGGGTCAGTGTGACTTATATGTAGTGTTAAATATAGTCTCTGTCATACAGCTGATGGAGCTTGCTTCTTTGGCTCAGTTGGTAGAGCTCGTTGATTATCATGGCAGGTTTGATTCCTGGTCAAGGCAGTTGACAGGAATAAGTATTTTCCCACTTCTTTCACAATCAGCTGAAATAAGCATGTATCCAAGATTTTGTTCATCCTATGCAATGGATACAAATCTAAGATTCTGTTTATCAGATGTAATTGATAGAAATCCAAGATTCTGTTTATCAGATGTAATGGATACAATTCCAAGATACTCTTTATCAGATGAGACTGAAATTCTGTTCATGAAATGCAATGGACAGGAGTCCAACATTCTGTTTATCAGATGTATTTAAACACTTGAGTACAATGTTATTGGGTGTGAAAATTTATGTTTTCCATATGTAAAGTGTATGTTATAGCTCACCTTCTTTCAGAAAATGTGAGTTACATGGAATTCTTTATTTCAGTCAGATGTTATTAAGCATTGTTTTGTTATTTGTTAACAAAAAACTTTTGTAAGTATATATCTTACCTTAAGCCATGTGTAACTTCAGGTTTATATTTTTACAGATCGGGACAAAGATGACCGTCATCAACATGTAGACCACCAGATGGACGAGCATAGTAATGACCATCGCCATGGAAACAAAAGGAAGCCTGCCGTCCACAAATCTTCAAAGTCTGGAGCGCACCCTCAGGCAAGTGGTGTCCATGGTTACATTAGTCGACGGTCATCTGAGCCACAATTGTCCACCAGAGGGAGGGACATGTCAAGAGAGAGAAAGGATAAGGTCAAGTCTTCGAATCATCATTTACAAGATGGCAAGAATCATGCAGCAAGCCAGAAAGGGGACAGAAACTCTGTCAGACAAAACTTTGACTCGAGTGACGGATCAGATGACCAGGACATCAGCAACAAAAGAGATTCTGGCAGGAGTAGCCGTGCCGAGAGATCAAAGAAGTATGCCACCTGGGACAAAAATATGCAGAAACGACGAGCCAAACTGCAGCAGCTGCAACAGGAAGGGCAGACAACAGCGGATGATTCCTTCATCAGCAAGAAAGGGAGAGAACTCCCGGAAAGCTATTACAAATTGTCAAGGAGTATCTCTACAGACCTGGCAACTCTACGCAACAAGACACAGATGCTGCAGGCAGCCAGTATGTATAACACAAGCAAAGATATGTCCTCAGCACCTTATACCCATATCTCAAAATCTTCTTCCCAGAGTCAAAAGACTTCAATCAACAATCATTGGCAGACGTTTGACCAATCAAAACAAGGTAATTCGTACAATTCGGCAGGGACACAGAATAACCACAGTGAGAACATTCCTAAACAGCGGACCATGTCTCTGGGGGACGTACGAAGGTCAGCATTTTACCGTATCAACTCCCACACCCCCTCCATTCCGTCCTCACCCTCCAATCAAAGGGACACTTACATTGACATAGACAGCCTCATAGCCAATGACATACATGCCCATCAGGCGGAAGAGGATGAATTGGCCTTTCCAACGCTGGAAGGATACAGACGTCATGGTCTAACCCACAGCTTCCCCAGCGCCCCCTACACAACACTGAAACACTTGAGTGAGAAAAGTATATGTTCCTCTTTGTTAGGACTAGTCCTGTTTCTTTTAGCCGGCTTTGTGCTTTTTTTACCGCTGGCAGCCATACTTTTAGTCCTATGCCCCTTGTGTTTCTTGTTAAAAAAAATATTTTCTTGTTGTTGTTGCTATGGAAACAAGTGCCAATGTGGAACTCTCCTATCCCGGAAGGAGAGGGCATGGGCAGAAAATTTGGAAACCAGCTCTGTTGTATATCAGTGTGTCGTTATTGTGGAATATGGTCTGACCACATACAAAATCCGAGAGTTGGTGAGAAATCGTCTAATCAAGGCAACAGATAAAAGTGGAAACAGACTGTATCCAAAATTTACCAAGAAAATTGTGCAGACGTTTTCTGGACCAACATGGATTCAGGATGATGGTTTCCTTATCAATAATCATGTGTTCAATATGCCTTCCTCAATAGAAACTATGGAGGATCTACAAGAATATATATCTGATTCTAGTTCAAAACCTCTGTCTATGCATCATCCTTTGTGGGAGATCCAGGTTCTAACAGACTTTGCTGACCAGCGAGACACTGTTGTGTTGTTACGTATACATCCATGTATCGCTGATGGAATCTCACTTGTACAACTTCTGTATAAGGCAATTGTTGACATGGAATCTATCACCATCGCTATGCCAAAATTCTCAAGTCGTCGGTGTTTCTGTAATGCTGTTCAGGCTTTCTTTAGTGGTCCCTTGGTGTTTTTAAAACAGTATGTGTTCAAAGAACAAGACTTCAACATGTTGCATGGTCAGCACATTCACACGTCGGGTAAACAGGTTGTTGCTTGGTCAGAGCCGTACAGCCTGGAACAAGCCACACGTATTTCACAGGTGACTCGTTCCACCCTGAATGATATTTTTCTGTCCGTCACGGCAGGCTGTCTACGAAACTATCTACAAGTGAATGGTATTCCCAACCCATATGACATGAAGGCCCTAGTACCAGTTCACTATCACTCAGGACCTTCGCCCCTACATCTTCACAACAATGACTGTCTCTTCATCCCCGTCTCAATTCCGTCAAACACCGAGGGTGCAATCCCTCGTCTCTGGCGGGTCAAACATATCATGGACAAGGTTGGCAGTCTGGCATTTTTCTCGGTCACACAAGGGGCCCTCTTGTTGTCTTCCACAGTATTGCCTCAGCGATGGCTATATTCCATGTGGCGTTCATTGTATAGTAAATGTACATGTATCATCTCTGATCTTCCAGGACCTGAGACAACCTTGAAAATAGCCTCTAAGCAAATAAAATCTGTAATATGTTGGATGCCACCCGTACATCAGGTTGCCGTGGCAGTCTCATTCTTTACCTATGGTGACCAGGTGAGGATGTCCGTCATGGCTGACCGGTCAGTCTTGCCAAATCCAGAAATGCTGACCAAGGATTTCATTTCCATTGTAAGTATTTTGTTGTTTGGAAGTGAGAGAGGCCATTAAAAAATACATACAATGGAGGTTATAACTTTCAGGGAAATTTTATTTTTTGCTATTTTAAGGGAAAAATAGATATCATGTAATAAATATTGATAGAGAATTTTCATCTATCATGCATTTAATGACTTCTTTAGGTATATATATATACAATCCAAGCTATTTAATGATAAAAAAAAAAATATTAAGAAAATTACAGACTGTAACTGCTTATAAGCCTGTATATCTTAGCGGTAATCTTTAGTTATTGACTTAAAGCACTGAAGTATGATTGTGCTAATTGCAGTCTCTTTATGCTGCTTAAGTAATGATTCTTGAGGCATGAATTTATGATTGAGCTAATCTGCTGATGTAATGATGTACTCAGATTTGATTGCACCAAGTAGTATGTTTACTGTATCTAGGAATTGGCATGATTTTTCAAAGTTTTACCTTTATATATAATCTATTGTAAATTTTGGAATATATGTTATTGCTATGTTTCAGCTTGAATTGTTTTCTCTATTTTCAATAATAATTCATAGTTTGTGCATTACTAATGAGAGTCCAGGGAGAAAATATAAACTAAAAAATATCTCGGTTGACCAGGTATTAGAATGACTGCTGGATATGCATAGTCAGTCACTTAGCTAGATTTGTGAAAAAAGGATCTCTCATGGGTTACCAGCAATCAGATAGCCCATCTGCCTTTCTACACAAGTCTACTTACAATAGTAATTATTGAGATTCCATCAGTAGACTTGTCCTTTAATAGTCAATACTACCATATATATATTTATCCCGAAACTGGCATTGCCATTGTCAGAATACACCTGCCACATATGTTTTTTCTGTATTCAGCAATGACGGAAAACAGCTCTATTATTGCTCTCTAAATTTACTTAAATATTACCTTTAGAAATATGAATAATTGTTGAAATAAGCCATTTTACATGTCGTGATGAACATGTTGATCTATGAAAATTCATAAAAGGACTGTTAAATCAGATGAAATTTGGAACTATATTTCTGTGCAATTACTTTGGCGTCCGTCATCAGGAAAAAGTCAACATAAGGTACACACATATGAACAACAAAACGGTTTAAGTTTCAATAGTCTGATTTTCAATCAATGTTGCAGGATAAATAGAATATACATGGTCAGTGTCTTAAAGTATAAGCCGTATTTTGGTTAGGGACAGAAAGACAAAAGTGGCTCACCAGATGCTTGTCATTTTTGTCTTTCTTCACCCTTGCCAAAATACAACTTATATCTTATCTTAAGATACTGACTATGTATTCTCTATATATGCGGTAATAGTACAATGTCTGGTAATAAGCCCACCCGTATCTATTTTAGTTTTTTACTTTTCAGAAATACAACAAGTAAAATTTCATTGTCCATTAATAAGCCCACTTGTTTGAATCACAATTTATATGTTTGTTCCTTATTTCCATGACAAACAACGTCTACGGTTTTATTTCGAACTTAATCAATATTCATCTGAATCAGTCCCAGTATATTAGGAACATATTTATTTCTCTTGAAGAGAAATATATAACTACAATACAAACCTATTTAAGCCTACTCTGCTGAAGGCTGCATGATTTCTCACGATAATAGCCATTATTTCCGAGAATTGTACCACTAGGCTAGGATAGGGTGATCATAGCTCAACCAAAATTCCGTTTTGTCTGGAGTGGATTGATTGAGTAGATAACCCATTCATCAATGAATATCTACCAACTTGGTCTACTGATCGAATCAGTAGATTGAAATGGGCTTGTGTTCTGAGGTTTTCCTTCGCTTGCCTTTCTAACGTGATGGCATTACTTTGTCTACTATGGTTACATTTTTGTTTGTTTTTTTTCTGGTTACTTTACATTTTTGTTTGTTTTTTTTCTGGTTACTTTACATTTTATGTTTGTTTTTTTTCTGGTTACTTTACATTTTTGTTTGTTTTTTTTCTGGTTACTTTACATTTTTGTTTGTTTTTTTTCTGGTTACTTTACATTTTATGTTTGTTTTTTTTCTGGTTACTTTACATTTTATGTTTGTTTTTTTTCTGGTTACTTTACATTTTATGTTTGTTTTTTTTCTGGTTACTTTACATTTTATGTTTGTTTTTTTTCTGGTTACTTTACATTTTTGTTTGTTTTTTTTCTGGTTACTTTACATTTTTGTTTGTTTTTTTTCTGGTTACTTTACATTTTTGTTTGTTTTTTTTCTGGTTACTTTACATTTTATGTTTGTTTTTTTTCTGGTTACTTTACATTTTTGTTTGTTTTTTTTCTGGTTACTTTACATTTTTGTTTGTTTTTTTTCTGGTTACTTTACATTTTATGTTTGTTTTTTTTCTGGTTACTTTACATTTTTGTTTGTTTTTTTTCTTGTTACTTTAAATTTTTGTTTGTTTTTTTTCTGGTTACTTTACATTTTATGTTTGTTTTTTTTCTGGTTACTTTACATTTTATGTTTGTTTTTTTTCTGGTTACTTTACATTTTATGTTTGTTTTTTTCTGGTTACTTTACATTTTATGTTTGTTTTTTTTCTGGTTACTTTACATTTTTGTTTGTTTTTTTTCTGGTTACTTTACATTTTTGTTTGTTTTTTTTCTGGTTACTTTACATTTTTGTTTGTTTTTTTTCTGGTTACTTTACATTTTTGTTTGTTTTTTTCTGGTTACTTTACATTTTTGTTTGTTTTTTTTCTGGTTACTTTACATTTTATGTTTGTTTTTTTTCTGGTTACTTTACATTTTTGTTTGTTTTTTTTCTGGTTACTTTACATTTTTGTTTGTTTTTTTTCTGGTTACTTTACATTTTATGTTTGTTTTTTTTCTGGTTACTTTACATTTTTGTTTGTTTTTTTTCTGGTTACTTTACATTTTTGTTTGTTTTTTTTCTGGTTACTTTACATTTTATGTTTGTTTTGGAGACGGATTTGAATTAGGAGGGATACATGTATATTGAAAGTAGTAATTGAGAATATAGAGGTTACATCAAGTCAAATTTAAAGACTAATTACAGATTTGCCATAGATTTAATACCAGCACACAACAATACCATCATTTATTTGGCCTTAAATGTCACAAAAACACTGTTCAGTTCTTAAATGTGTATGTATATTGTTTTGTCTCCAGATGAACGACCTGTCCAGTCTACTGGCCAATCGAAGGATTCCTGGTGAACAACTCTCCAAGAAAATGGAAGTTCACCAACTGGACTGTGAGATCCATGCCGAGCCCACCGTGGAACAGGTTAGTGGCAGTGTGGAAAAATGGTGGATTGTGCCTGATCTACACATACCTACATATATCTACATATCTATATATCTAAAGACTGAAACCCACTAGCCTTCAGATGGTTTCCGAGATATTTTAAAATTTCAGAGTTGATATAGGAAAAAAATTTTACACATGTACATGGTAAGGAACCCTTGTCTTGAACATTTTTCAACCTTTCATTTTCCATTGTAAAGAATTTGCTGAAGTTAAAGTAGTGTGATTGTGGAATAAAAATTTCATATTATGAAGGCATTGTGAAGACAGAGGAAGAGAATCGTTTGGGCTATTATTAGACAGGAGGACCTATTATTAGAACTGTATGAGCTTTATCTTCAATGTCAGTTTATTTATGAACAATATCATGTTTAAGATATGGACCTGTTACCTACAGGAGTATATAAAATCGTGCTGTATCAGTGCACAATTCTTGTTTCTCTGACTTTGCCCAATCTTTACTACAATACCAGCTAAGCTGGCATACAAATGCCTTCATTCACAAGTATTTTAGAGGAAAAGCGAAATCTCTAAGCTCAATCTTTCATATTTCATCAGTGATTTTTTTTATTTTTGTCTGTGGTTTATGTAGAGCACATAAAAAGTTGAGCAGGTTTATGGACTGAGAGCAGATTTTAACAGGAAATATAAATAAAGATTGGTTTCTTTATCATTTCTTAAGATATGAAATGAAATATGACTGTTAGAAGGTACTTGTCAGGGATTCCCTCCAAGTTTATGTGTGGAAACTCTGTAAGACATCATTTCAGGTCTTATCATATTTGTCTGGTAATAAGCCTATGCCTGGTGATAATCACAACCATAAACTTATTGTTGTTTAGTAAAAAATTCAGGTAACATGTTCTCAACCTATCGTTATAGCTAAATATGACAGAATTCAATTCTCTGTTCAAACTTTTTCTGAACTTTGGAGGCTAAATAATTGGTTATTGGCTGACCTAAAAATGAGCAAAATATTGCCCTTTGACTTTTCAGCAAACAACTTCTTCTTAAGAACTATATATATAATGAAGAATCATGATGTCTATCCATTAGATACACATGACAAAGTTCAAACTAAAAAAATCAATTGATCTTGATTTTCAAGGTCACTTGTGTTAAAAGAAAACTTCAAGTGGTTTATTTTTTTATCTAATCAATAGCATGCTTAATAAAAATTTTGGAGCTTTTTCAATATCGCAAAAAATGATAATTATCACTTGTACCAATCTTTAATAGATATACATTACATTGTGCATGTAATATAGTTTTCGCCTAGGGAATTGATAGCACAGTAATGAAATACAGGAATTGCTCAACTCTTCAGTTGGCATGTCTGTCGAACATTCACTTAAGGATTACATTGTAGATCATTATTGATATCATTTCAGTGCGACACCAAAGTTGATAACAAAGATATTCCTCGATGGGTGGTAGCACATGTTTTAGGATATATTTGTTAGCAACTTGGATTCATACTGTCATGACGGCTTTATTTAGGTATTTTAACCCTAATTTAATTAAGAGCGATCTGTTCTTAAATGGCTCTGTGTAATATCTTCTGGTTCTTAAAATATCTCAAACTGTGCTACCAAATGTTTGAACAACTATCTGTTATTGGAAAATGGTCCTGATTTTTATCATTAATGTTTCCCTGAGGTGATAATCTTTTTTAATAGGAAACTGTTCCAAAATTATTTTTCAAAGATTGAATTTACCATGCCAGCATGACTTGTGCCAGTTGATGGAAGATCTGACCAACATCTATTTAGAAAATATTCCTGTGTAACAGTTCTTTGTGATAAATTTTCAGAACAAAATATAGAATTAGTAAGTTTACTTCTAAGAGTTTATATTTAGAAATTAAAAATTTCCTGAAAATTGAAAACCTCAAAAACGACAGTTCTCTGTCTCTGACTTAATTACAGTACATCAATATTTTCAATTTCTTTATTAGTAATATTAGTGTTGTTATTATTAGTTTGAATACTTCATTTTTTTCAAATTTCATTTTCAAAATGTTGTCTTCTTTTTATCAATATATGTTTAAGAATCAGATATATGTATTATTCTCAGATCATTAGATAATTTCTGCATGTGCACCCATTTTGTGTTAGCATTTTGATTGAGATCTGTGATTAGTGTATAATATAGTACTACCAATGTCTGGCTTTTCCTGTCGTCATGTATTACTTATTTAACAAAACACAAATGTCTTGAAATACTGAATTTGTCTGACAATAAGCCCAGGCCTGGTTATAAGCCCACCTATATTATTTTCGATAATTTTCCAGTAGAAATACCAACAAATACAATTTCATTATGCTGTAATAATCCCATTTCCTAACTTTGAGTCAGGGGTAATATGTTGCCACTCCCTCCCTCTGTGTACCTATTGTTCCATGATAAGCCCACCCAATGATTTTGAGAGAGAGGTCAAATGTTAGTCTAATGGGCTTGATGCTGAATAAAACAATTCTTTTGATAACTTTTATATTGCAGTGACATTAGTGAGATAAAAACCCAACATATCTCTCTCTCAAAAAACAATAACATATGAAGACGTTGGTGGTATGAGAGAGCTGTGTGCTGATAACATATGAAGACGTAGGTGGTATGAGAGAGCTGTGTGCTGATAACATATGAAGACGTAGGTGGTATGAGAGAGCTGTGTGCTGATAACATATGAAGACGTAGGTGGTATGAGAGAGCTGTGTGCTGATAACATATGAAGACGTTGGTGGTATAAGAGAGCTGTGTGCTGATAACATGTGAAGACGTAGGTGGTATGAGAGAGCTGTGTGCTGATAACATATGAAGACGTTGGTGGTATGAGAGAGCTGTGTGCTGATAACATATGAAGACATAGGTGGTATGAAAGAGCTGTGTGCTGATAACATATGAAGACATTGGTGGTATGAGAGAGCTGTGTGCTGATAACATATGAAGACGTAGGTGGTATGAGAGAGCTGTGTGCTGACGTTGGTGGTATGAGAGAGCTGTGTGCTGATAACATATGAAGACGTAGGTGGTATGAGAGAGCTGTGTGCTGATAACATATGAAGACGTAGGTAGTATGAGAGAGCTGTGTGCTGATAACATATGAAGACGTAGGTGGTATGAGAGAGCTGTGTGCTGATAACATATGAAGACGTAGGTAGTATGAGAGAGCTGTGTGCTGATAACATATGAAGACGTAGGTGGTATGAGAGAGCTGTGTGCTGATAACATATGAAGACGTAGGAGGTATGAGAGAGCTGTGTGCTGATAACATATGAAGACGTTGGTGGTATGAGAGAGCTGTGTGCTGATAACATGTGAAGACGTAGGTGGTATGATAGAGCTGTGTGCTGATAACATGTGAAGACGTTGGTGGTATGAGAGAGCTGTGTGCTGATAACATATGAAGACATAGGTGGTATGAAAGAGCTGTGTGCTGATAACATATGAAGACATTGGTGGTATGAGAGAGCTGTGTGCTGATAACATATGAAGACGTAGGTGGTATGAGAGAGCTGTGTGCTGACGTTGGTGGTATGAGAGAGCTGTGTGCTGATAACATATGAAGACGTAGGTGGTATGAGAGAGCTGTGTGCTGATAACATATGAAGACGTAGGTAGTATGAGAGAGCTGTGTGCTGATAACATATGAAGACGTATGAGAGAGCTGTGTGCTGATACCATATGAAGACGTAGGTAGTATGAGAGAGCTGTGTGCTGATAACATATGAAGACGTAGGTGGTATGAGAGAGCTGTGTGCTGATAACATATGAAGACGTAGGTGGTATGAGAGAGCTGTGTGCTGATAACATATGAAGACGTTGGTGGTATGAGAGAGCTGTGTGTGATAACATATGAAGACGTTGGTGGTATGAGAGAGCTGTGCGTGATAACATATGAAGACGTAGGTGGTATGAGAGAGCTGTGTGCTGATAACATGTGAAGACATTGGTGGTATGAGAGAGCTGAGTGTGATAACATATGAAGACGTAGGTGGTATGAGAGAGCTGTGTGCTGATAACATATGAAGACGTAGGTGGTATGAGAGAGCTGTGTGCTGATAACATATGAAGACGTAGGTGGTATGAGAGAGCTGTGTGCTGATAACATATGAAGACGTAGGTGGTATGAGAGAGCTGTGTGCTGATAACATATGAAGACGTAGGTGGAATGAGAGAGCTGTGTGCTGATAACATATGAAGACGTTGGGGGTATGAGAGAGCTGTGTGCTGATAACATATGAAGACGTTGGTGGTATGAGAGAGCTGTGTGCTGATAACATATGAAGACGTTGGGGGTATGAGAGAGCTGTGTGCTGATAATATATGAAGACGTTGGTGGTATGAGAGAGCTGTGTGCTGATAACATATGAAGACGTTGGTGGTATGAGAGAGCTGTGCGTGATAACATATGAAGACGTGGTGGTATGAGAGAGCTGTGTGCTGATAACATATGAAGACGTAGGTGGTATGAGAGAGCTGTGTGCTGACGTTGGTGGTATGAGAGAGCTGTGTGCTGACGTTGGTGGTATGAGAGAGCTGTGTGCTGATAACATATGAAGACGTTGGTGGTATGAGAGAGCTGTGTGCTGATAACATATGAAGACGTTGGTGGTATGAGAGAGCTGTGCGTGATAACATATGAAGACGTTGGTGGTATGAGAGAGCTGTGTGCTGATAACATATGAAGACGTAGGTGGTATGAGAGAGCTGTGTGCTGACGTTGGTGGTATGAGAGAGCTGTGTGCTGACGTTGGTGGTATGAGAGAGCTGTGTGCTGATAACATATGAAGACGTAGGTGGTATGAGAGAGCTGTGTGCTGACGTTGGTGGTATGAGAGAGCTGTGTGCTGATTACATGATTTTGTTGATTTTCCTTATTTTGCACGTCAGATCCAAATAAGGATGACCATTATTCAACAAGAGATACAGGAACTCAAAATCCAGCTCGATCTTGATGGTCGTCATTCCAGCTCCGAGACGAAACTCCGTCGTAAGATTGAGGCCTTGAAGGAACAGTTTCGGGAGTTGCTGGTTGAAATGCGCCAAAGAAAGGCGGCTGAGGAGGAGAATGCCATGATTCTCACCGACGAGGACCCTGTTAGTGGAATTTTTGTTATAAGACCTAATATAAGTGACCCCTGTGTATTATGACATCTTAATATCTATTGAAAACTGTGTAGTCAGACATTCCACCAGTGACACCTGTATAGTCCGACATTCCACCAGTGACACCTGTATAGTCAGACATTCTACCAGTGACACCTGTATAGTCAAACATTCCACCAATGACACCTGTATAGTCAGACATTCTACCAGTGACACCTGTATAGTCAGACATTCTGCCATTGACACCTGTATAGTCAGACATTCCACCAGTGACACCTGTATAGTCAGACATTCTGCCATTGACACCTGTATAGTCAGACATTCCACCAGTGACACCTGTATAGTCAGACATTCTGCCAGTGACACCTGTGTAGTCAGACATTCTGCCAGTGACACCTGTAAAGTCAGACATTCCATCAATGACACCTGTATAGTCAAGACAAACCACCAGTGACACTTGTGTAGTCAGACAAACCACCAGTGACACCTGTGTAGTCAGACATTCTGGCAGTGACACCTGTATAGTCAGACATTCTGCCAGTGACACCTGTATAGTCAGACATTCTGCCATTGACACCTGTATAGTCCGACATTCCACCAGTGACAGCTGTATAGTCAGACATTCCACCAGTGACATCTGTGTAGTCAGACATTCCACCAATGACACCTGTATAGTCAGACAAACCACCAGTGACACCTGTATAGTCAGACATTCTGCCAGTGACACCTGTATAGTCAGACAAACCACCAGTGACACTTGTGTGGTCAGACAAACCACCAGTGACACCTGTATAGTCAGACATTCTGCCAGTGACACCTGTATAGTCAGACATTCTGCCAGTGACACCTGTATAGTCAGACAAACCACCAGTGACACCTGTATAGTCAGACATTCCACCAGTGACACCTGTATAGTCAGACAAACCACCAGTGACACTTGTGTAGTCAGACAAACCACCAGTGACACCTGTATAGTCAGACATTCTGCCAGTGACACCTGTATAGTCGGACATTCTGCCAGTGACACCTGTATAGTCGGACATTCTGCCAGTGACACCTGTATAGTCAGACATTCTGCCAGTGACACCTGTATAGTCAGACAAACCACCAGTGACACCTGTATAGTCAGACAAACCACCAGTGACACTTGTGTAGTCAGACAAACCACCAGTGACACCTGTGTAGTCAGACATTCTGCCAGTGACACCTGTATAGTCAGACATTCTGCCAGTGACACCTGTATAGTCAGACATTTCACCAGTGACACCTGTGTAGTCAGACATTCCACCAGTGACACCTGTATAGTCAGACATTTCACCAGTGACACCTGTGTAGTCAGACATTCCACCAGTGACACCTGTGTAGTCAGACATTCCACCAGTGACACCTGTGTAGTCAGACAAACCACCAGTGACACTTGTGTAGTCAGACAAACCACCAGTGACACCTGTATAGTCAAGACATTCCACCAGTGACACCTGTATAGTCAGACAAACCACCAGTGACACTTGTGTAGTCAGACAAACCACCAGTGACACCTGTATAGTCAGACATTCCACCAGTGACACCTGTATAGTCAGACAAACCACCAGTGACACTTGTGTAGTCAGACAAACCACCAGTGACACTTGTGTAATCTTACAAGAATCAAACCAACTTGTAAACATTGTTATTTGTGAATTATACTGGTATGGTTGGTGTGGCACATTCTGCGAGACTTGTGTCTAGAGGGCAATTTGTGTTCTGATATTTTCTATTTGAAGCCTGACTCTTTGCCTAGCAGTGCATGTGTCTGGCTCATCACAGGACAATATAATCAACTTGTAGTTGATGCTGTGGGCTTGGCTTGTCTTAGATCAATAATTAATGCTTAATTTGGCTATGCTAGTTTATATCTTATGTTTGTGGTGAGCAAAAATCTTATATATTTCATTTTCTGTACTGCACCAATTGTTTAATAGATCTAGCTACACAGTTAGCAGTGCCATACCAAGCAGACATTTTCACATAAAAATGTTGTTTTTATCTGTAGAGTACTAACCTATAGCCAAATCATATGAATATTGTTTTACTGTGCTAAATTATCATTGCTAGGTAGTCAATTTTTCCTTTTAATAACAAAAAGCTTATATTACACAGATTTTGATTGAGTAAAATTGTACTTTTTCTTCACTGGATGAAAAGATATAGACAAAATCTTTTTGTCAGGTAGAGGGTCATTTCCATATATGTTATCAATGGGATTTTGGGGGGAAAATTGTTATCTGGCCGAAGTTCATTTCTGAACATCACAACACAAGTGTTCTTTTGTGATAGGAAATTGAAGATGATGAAGACAATGACCTCCGACGACCTTTCCGGCGTCGGACACTTTCCATCAGTTCCCGAATGTCTAGAATGTCCACCATGTCAACATCTTCCACCGCTCGACCTCTTGCTTCACCATCGGTTGTCATGGACATGTACAACGATGCAGATACTTGGTCACAGGTCTGTATTCTTCAAACTGGTATCAAGTGTCTGGTAAACACTGAAACGAAAATCAGAAATCATTTTGTTTTTCCTGACAAATGGACAGGACATAATGACTTGAGTTTAGATTCATTCAGATATTGTTGCATGTCTCATTTATTTCTTTATAAGTTTGTGAAATTTTTAGTGATGCTAGGTTTACAAGTGTTTTTAATAATTTCAGTCATCCAGAATGGATGGAATAAGCATAGGTATGACAGGAGGGCGACAGACGTTGCCAAGGAGAACACAACACAGGAAAGAAGAATTTGAAATTCTTGAATATGCACATTCACCCTCCATGGAAAGGCGAATAAGGACAGCATAAATTGGAAATAATTGTGCACAAGATGGATTGATTCAGAAAATTTTTGTGTGACATAAAGAGATTTGGAAGATTAACCAATGGAATATAGAGATTAAATTCACCATTGAGAAATAAAGAGCATTTCACTAGTGAGATAGGGAGGTCTAGAATATCTAACAGTCATATATAAAGTGGAATTTTCAGTTGTGAAATAAAAAGATATGGAATATTCACTTGTGAAATGGAAAGATTTCAGCCATGAGATTTTAGAGATTTGGGATCTTCACTTGTAAAATGGAAAGATTTCAGCCATGAGATTTTAGAGATTTGGGATCTTCACTTGTGAAATGGAAAGATTTCAGCCATGAGATTTTAGAGATTTGGGATCTTCACTTGTGAAATGGAAATATTTCAGCCATGAGATTTAGAGATTTGGGATCTTGTGAAATGAAGATACCTAAAATCTTCACTTGTGAGATATAGAGAACAGGAAATTTAATATGTGAGATTAAGAGATCTGGCACACTATCTAACGAGATAAATTCTAAAATACTCACCTGTGAGATTCAGTTTTAAATACTTAACTGAGAACAATTTGGAATACTCACCTGTATAAAATATTTTGGAATGCTCATCAATGCGATAGAGAGGATACCCTGTAATTATTTCTGACTTGTTAAATACAGATTGTGAAGACATCCATGTATCAATAAAATGAAAGTTATGAATACTCATCTGTGAAAAATTATTGTGTAGTTATACACAAATAGCAGAATTTGTGTAAAAATATTGCCCTTTGTAGGGAGTGCTTTATATTGTAGGGAAAGTTTCCTTTTACCTTCGTCTGACATTTAAGAGACTTTGCTCAGAAGGTATGGAATGCAGTAGCAATAAATTAGGTATACAAAATGTATGTTGTGTTAAAATATTGAATAAAGTTATTGATAATACCCTAAAATTGAAGATAAGTGTGTCCTGAAAGTAAGTCATGGATTCCTTATACAGAAACTTATTTTAAAATAAGCTGGTTTTAAAAACAAGCCTGTCACAACTAGGATTATTTAAAGTTGAAATTAGAATATATTTATCTTGATAAATTTGACCACAGAAAAATTTATATTGCAACTTGTAAAATGAAATCAAATTTTTTTTATCCACTTTCATCTGTACATATTTTTACTGTACGGGTGATTTGATATCAATTAACAGGAGGCAATTCTGTATTGAAAATAAGATTACCTTGAAAATAAGATTACCTTGAAAATAAGATTACCTTGAAAATAAGCAGTTGCAAAAAATAAGCCAGTAAACTTTTACATTACAGAAACAAATAAAATTACAGCTTTTGATTGTTAAGATTTTGTATTTGACATTGTACATGAACTTGTAAACGATGTGTTATATTTTGAATATTTTTTTCAAATCATCAGGCTTGAATTTAGAAATCAGAGAAATTTTTTATGTCTTAACTTTTTCTGAAAAAAAAACCCATCAGAAATCTATAAAGACACTTGATTGAACATGAGTGTCTGGCCTTATAAAGGTGCCACTGTATTTGTTTTCTATGCAGATTATTAGAAAGACAAAATATGGAGATTGTTTTATATGTAATATTACAGTTTATAAGGTTGTCAGTTTTAGATTGACTATGAGAATTACATATACTGGGAAAGATATTATGGACAATAGACTGTAATGTTAATCAGGGTTGTATAATTGGTTGAGAAATAGTGGATTCCAGATCATAAGTTTGTAAAATCTCTAGTTTAGTTGATAAGAAATACTCCTAATAGAAAATTAGTGAAATCAGAGGCCAAATGTATTTTTCTGTTTTATTTGTGTTTTTTCTATCCTGTTCAAAATATGTGAATAACTATGAGGTGCTATCCCAAATTTTCCTGAATGGTGTTAGTTAAGTTGATAGTACTGTCATTTTCACATCAAACATGACCATCATTGGTAAACTTGTTAAAAGGAAAAGTCAGAATTTCAAAAGAACTGTAAGTGTTCTTGCCATTAAGTGTAGAAGTTGAGAATACAAGAAATTTTACTAGCCTCAGCTAGTTGTAATTTCCGTTGGGTTAAAAGTGGCTAGAAACCAAAGAATGGCTAGTTAAAATCACCATGGGAGCAGAGAATTTTTCATTGCTCCATCTTATTACCAAAGCTGTTAAAACAATGTTTGTTTATTTTTACACTGTGTGATCCATAAATGTGTACAATATAGATGATTTTACCAGTGTCAAGTTGGGACTGAATTTGTGTCATAAGGGAGGTAACTCAAAACAGACACATGCAATAAACAAAATATTCTACAAAGTATTTACAAGGTGATGACTCCAGATATTGTCTTCTCAAGAAGTTACTCCAAATAAGCAGAGGCTATAGTAACTTGCTCTTTAACAACACTAAAATTTGAATTACTACTACATAACGTTACTGAAAAATTTATTTTTAACAAAAACAAAAAAAAAATCTTAGTTCATTTACGATATCTTCATTCAGTAGTATCATACTAAATCCATCAAAATTATGGTTTAGATAGAAAATGGTTTTAATAAAATCTATCTCCCAGTAGTAAAGCAAGCAATTTAGTCCTCAATATGACCATGGTCATAGCAATAAACAGCTAAGATAATGTGGGTTCAGCTCATCAGCATTCTATTGTATATGGCTCTTGTATTTACATGCTGTATCAGTTTTCAACTGATCATTGGTTTTCATATGTCTTCTTGTGTGTTTTTCACTTCATAATACCTGGAAGGAGGTGTATATGATTATATAGTTGTACAAACATATTGTAATATATTTATTAAAAGGAGTGTAAGAAATCTGTTGTCTTCGTGATGCATATCTAGCCTGTACATTGTGTGATAAAATTTACCATAAATGTTTGTATATATAGACTTAAGTGTGTACAGTATTGAATAGATCCATGTGCCAGAATTCAGAATGTTTGGTGGAATTAGTTAGCTTAGGATCATATTTATTTAAAAAATATAAAACGTATACATATATTTGAATGTTGACCTTTGACCTTAAGCTGGCCTCAAAGTCAAAGGGTCGTAATAAATATTGAGTGGTCTTCATTGTTTGTGCATATGTATATACTTTTGTTTATTGTACAACATCTGAACAAATAAACTCTACAGCATGAATATGAAACTAGACAATACAATCATAATGTAGTGAGTTAGCATTGAAAAATATGCATTATCTCCCTTTATCTTATAACTGAAAAGATTTGCCAGTTTTGGGTTAGAAAATTTACAAAAAAACAAACAACTTGAACAACATAATGAGTAGAGAAGACACATTATTTCTGTCATTTTTTTCAGCTGAACATAAAATCATTTTGCTGTATGTTTTTGTAAAACCTGCAAAATGTTAAACAATATGGACAAGAAACTATGGACTGTCCGAACAGTAGACAAGCACAGTTTAATGATATTTAATGTTGAGAAAGTTATTTACTACAGGACCTATTGTATCATATTGTTTCTGTAATGATTGTCATAATTTTAATTGAAAAACCTTAAATTAATGGAGAAGGTGGATTAGACTGTGTTATTTTTATCATATCTTCAGTTTGAAATGTAAATGTGTGTGGAATTTTTTTTAATCATGTGTCATGTATTTTATTGTTACCGTTTTGTTCTTTGAACTGTATGACACAGAAATATTTGGTGTTTACTGGCGTGAAGTCAGTTTATGTTACATATGGTGTTACCTGGTGTGAGGTCAGTTTATGTTACATATGGTGTTACCTGGTGTGAGGTCAGTTTATGTTACATATGGTGTTACCTGGTGTGAGGTCAGTTTATGTTACATATGGTGTTACCTGGTGTGAGGTCAGTTTATGTTACATATGGTGTTACCTGGTGTGAGGTCAGTTTATGTTACATATGGTGTTACCTGGTGTGAGGTCAGTTTATGTTACATATGGTGTTACCTGGTGTGAGGTCAGTTTATGTTACATATGGTGTTTACTGGTGTGGGGTCAGAATGTGGCCATTAATTGCACCAGTCCTTTATGGAATCACAGTACTCTTACATACTATGCATTTGTTGTTTATGTTAAGAATTTTCAGTTTTTTCCTTTCCAGTTTCTAGCAAAGAACATTTTAAATCCTGTAACAGGATAAAATTTTTTTTTTTAAATTAACAAAAAATTGTTATTCAGTTAATTCAAATTATAAAATGGCAACAGTAGCAATAAACTTCTAAAACATTTCTTTCATATCTTGACTAAACAAGACATAAATGACAACACCATTACAGATACCTGATCAATCCTTTGTATTTTTATAACCCCGTCCCTACTCCAGATTTTTTCACCAAATTCAAAATTTGGTTGACTTTTTAACAAATATTACAAGGTCCTATGGATATTTGCTTAAAACAAATCCATTATCACACAGATGTGCATATGAAGGTAATTTGGTGTGTGATATCGGCCCTGTATACCTCATATTTTAGCTCTTATTTTTCATGGAATTTTTTTCTTTCTTTCTTTACTTATTTGTCTTAATTTGAAAAAAAAATCATTCATTGTGTGCTTCATCTTTGTTCATGTAAATATGCATCTCCGCTCGAAGGCAATTTCATACAAAACATACATTTTGTGATAGAAAATTCAGATTCGTCAACCCATATGTAAGAGTCTATTAACTTTCTCATCATCATACACATGGATTTCCTCTACAGCTGTTGTTAGAGTAATGTTGCCATTTGTCTTTGTGATAACTGCCACAGTACACACATGGCACAAACAAGGTTCAAGTTGGATCTGAAAGTTCTATGTATATAATTGTGTGGCATTTACATTTGTATTACATATGAGTGAACAGCAATCTCATGTGTGTACTACATATGGATGTTAGCCACATATGTGTATCTAAATATTGAAGCTTAGTATAGTTACTGGAATTACTATCTTGTAATACTGTAGCTGTATTTTAGGATTTGTGATACGTTTTAGTATTGATTCTCAAATTAATTTGCTTTTAAATTTTGGTAGAATAAGAAAGGGTATGTAAAATAACAAATCAAAAGGGAAACTTTGTGTATTGAAAAACAAACTTTCAAAAAATTGAAGTTTACAATATCAGTTTTGTAGGAGAATAGTAAAGAGAAATAACAGCTCCATTGAGTATATAATGGTACATACAGATGTGTTGCATGTACAGGTTTATAGTATTGACTACATACAGTATGTATTACATACAAAAATGTATTTCATACAAGTATGACATACATATATGTTTAGGGAAATGTACAATAGACATAAATTTAATACATACAAGTATGTACTAGGTTTTTTTTTAATGTATGTGTGTACTACATGCACTGGAGTGATGTGTGTAGATGTTGATTGCATGCCAGTGTGAACTGTCCAGCGACAGTAGGTTTGTATGAAGCTAGAAACTCTCTCCTGTTGTAATACACCAGATTAGTCATCTGGTCATTTAATAAATCAGTTTTGCCCCAAAATAATCTGGTATTTTATTTTCTTTACAAAAAAATGTGTAACTTTTCAAATCTGATTAATTGGTATTTGCCATTGTTTAATGTACCATAAATTTCTGTTACATAAACAATGGTGGTTTGATTCCTCCAACAGACACCAATAGGTCAGGGGGTTTCTTGTCGGACCATGTGGGTTATATATATATGATCTCTGGTTTCCTTGTACAGTAAGACCTATACATGCTTTTGTCCAGGCCAACAAGAGTGATTAGTAAAGTTGGTATAATTTCTAATGATTAGTAAAGTTGGTATAACTTGTTCTGCAATTACTGTAAAATGAATAAAGTTTATATTTTCACATATAACGTTAGATGTAGATCCACTGATCCAGATTTTTAAATCTTTGGAGCAAGTGTTATATACATACATCACATACGACCCTACACATTTCGCCAAATTGTATGTACAGTTACTTCCCTATATCTTCTCCCTGCTTTCAGTTGTGATAGGATAATGAAAAATTTGACAGGAATCCATTCAATAATATATCAGAATTAAAATAAGTGTATACAGTAATAAGTGACCTAAAGGGTCTTCTGTACCCTTCATTTGAAAATTATTCTGTCAAGGAACAAAACATTTTCATGTTTAAACAGCACTGATTTTCGGTCTTCACTCCAAGAATACTGGCAGACATTTATCTCCCCACACTCAACTCTTCGCCTCAGGGTTCCTGACCCTCCATTGACAAAACAATAAATTACCTTTACCCTATGCTCAATATCAAACTCTATCAAAATGTTCAGCTCTCGAGATGTCTTGTGGGAACTATTGATGAACAGATATGGAGAGTGTTTCTGAACATGGAAGTATTAACAGAAAACATCAGACTATGAAGTTAAAATTATCACATCTTTAATACAGTTATATTGGGTGGAACAAGTATCACAAGATATAAATCTCAACTTTCAGCACACATACACAGCCTTAAGATGTGAGGGAGAGCTGATGGCTACACCTTGTTGTAAATATGAAGCTGGTATATTGAAGCTGCTTAAGGCCAATCACACCACAGGTTTCAGATGTGGGAAGTTCTGTCAGCTGTATCTATGTACTGTAAATATAAAACTGATATAACAATATCTACTTCAGGTAAACAGTACCACTACATCAATTATCTTCAATTAAGAAGGATTTTCCTTTTTTACTCGGCCCAATGTCATTCATTATTTTGACTAATTGCACCGGAATGGTTCAGTTATGAAATTAGGACAGACTTGCTCATCATCTTTTGTTTATTGTAACCTTGACAACAAGCCTTTGGAGGCCTGTATTAATATTTGCAGTTCTGTCCAGATTAATGCCAGAAATCAGGAATACCAAGGCATGTCAGAAATTAGAAGTTTTGCTTTAAAACATTGATGTACCTGTTTTTTCTCTTAAATGAAAACGACTTTGGAGTACCTTACCTGTTTTACAGAAATGTATTTTTATGACCTTGGCTTGCTTCCCTTACTAGATTAATTCTAATTTTAATGCCTCAAGAATTTCAATACTTGCATTGCTTAAGTGTGGGATAGGCTGTAGAAATGTCAAGTAGAAAAGTGTATCACTTTGACAACAGCCAATCATTATGACCCTCTTTGGCACGGTCCGTCCAATTCTTTATGGCTATTAGAAGCTTTTAAACAATCACATACCAGAAAACTAGGACAAAAATAAAAATTGCACCCAAACTATCTCAAACTATTCCAATTAATTAAAAAATATGAAGAAAAAAATACATAAATGGTCCATTTCTGAAAGTAAATATTCTTCTAAAATAACATTTCTTCATGAAAGCCTTATTCCTAATCAGTTTTTTAACAATTACAGACACCCCCTTCCCGTTTTGGTTTGTTTCTAACGAAGCCGAGAAATGGACCAGTCTGTCATGATTTTATCTTTCGGCTAGATACTTTAATTACTCTCGATAGCATGCGATGGGCCTTCGAATTATTATTCTGTGCTGTACCACCAGTCACTAGTCGATAGCATGCGATGGGCCTTTGAATTATTATTCAGTGCTGTACACCAGTCACTAGTCGATAGCATGTGATGGGCCTTCAAATAATCATTCAGTGCTGTACCACCAGTCACATCCAGGAAACACCGCCTTAAAGTAACCCTAGTTGTTCAGGGGACGATAAACCTACCAAACAATCACAGAACATTATTAATCTAGAAGTGGCAAAGATGATGGTTGGCCTGACAGTACAGCACCTTAACTATAGTATCTGGTTAGTCTAGAAACTGTGTAGATGGTTTATGTTCTAATAGTATTTCTAACAACAGTGAAACTTTTGATAAAGACGAAACACTATTTTCAGTATTGCACTAGCAGGGTCTCAATATGATTGAAAAAAATAGTTATAAATGCTTACAAAAATCTAAATACTTGATGACCAGGTAGGAAACATTCTTGTTTACAACAACTTGTACACCATGTATGTGTAATACCTATATATTGACAAAACAAAGACAAAAATTCCTGTGTACACCTGTAATAACTCTCAGAAAGGTAAAATGACAGTCCATGCTTCCTTCTCGCAATCCAGCAATTACACATTATCAAAAACGACCATAAATAAGCTCAGATACACACGTACTATATTGGCATCAGTTTTCAGAGGTACAGTACATATCGACAACAATTTTTTACACAATTTACATAATGCAGGGATCACTTTTTATCCATTTAAGCAAGGAAATTCATCCCAAATGTAAAGTACTTTAAGCTAATTATATCAAACATGAATTTTAGCATTAAGGCTTGTAACATTCATTTATTGTAAGTCACTTAAATCATAATTGAACAAAACAAAGAGAATTTAAATATCAAATGCAATTAACAGCATCATTTTCTAATATCTAGTCTTCATTTTCTAATATCTAGTCTTCATTTGATCCAAACAGCTTTACCAATTAGACACAAGTTTATGAAAAAGATATTGGGAACTGAGAAAGCGATCTGCAGGCCTTGACAATGATATCAAAACCATACAAAGAGTTTCAAGGTCTGCATTTACATATTAATCCCTACCATACTATATTCCTTAAATATTCCACTTAAAGTTACATTCAAAAGTTGACAAATCGGGTTTGTGCTCACAAGCAGGTTCCTAGACTGTCGGGGAACAAAAACAACAAAAATAGGTTTTTAATTAACCAAATACCAGTCAATGTTGACAACACAATCTGTTTGTCCCTTTACATTAAAAAAAAATGATCAAGCTGTGCTGTCCAACAAAAAATTTATTTGACATTTTTCCTGGAAGGACTCTGGAATACCATGGGTATTCACAGCAAGCGCTAACTTGCATTGGAAAGAAATTAAATGGGTAATGTTGGAATTGAAAATAGCTTTGAAAATAAATACATACATTTAATAGTCATTGTTAAACAAATATACACAAAATGTAAGCATGATATTTATTTTGAAATCAATATCTATAAACTTACAGACAGAAATATCCATATCTCAATACATGTTACATCTACCAGGTAGTTCAATTTGTAATACTGAAATTGAAATTGTCCTCAAAGTCAAACTTGAATGTGTAAAGAATGAAGCTGATTCCTGAACATAATCATATAATCAATGTTAATTATCCTCCTAAAAACAGTGGAAACTTAAATGAAGTGAATAAGTTGGAGATAAAAATGTCCAGGCCATTCTGTAATCAGGGGGAAAAATCCAGCAATTAGAAAGACATGAATGAAACCCTGTTCACACAAAAATCAAATTCTGAAAATGACTAATTTCGACACTGAAGCTGAAGCTGAATATGATTGATGCTAAATGTTGTTGCCCGCTACAAATATCTGGTCGAACAATGGGACACAATTACTATCCCTGACATGTAGGACTCTTGGTTATCTGAAGTGGAAATTAAAAACATTTGTAAAAGATACCCATGATACTCTCCTTCACCCATCTGAAACTCCTTCATTGATGAAATTAGATAAAATGCAATATTCAACACAAAGTCTAACCAAAAAATCAATGAAGCAGAAAAATACGACACAGTCACCTACATTTATAATGTAGTTCTGTTTTTGTTTTCTTCAAATATTGATCCACGCACGCAGAAAATATGGGTAAAAGTGACCTATATTTATGATACAGTACCATTTTTTGCATTTCTCAATATCGATCCACGTACACAGAAAAATAGGTCAGTGACCTAGATAACCCATAATATACAAGATATCTGTACCTCAATTAGTATAATGGCTGTTTTGCTTTTATTTCAAGAGTAACTTTTGGCACAAAGTCTAGCTAACATGTATAGACAGATGGACTTCACTAATGGATAGAGATATGTAATTCTTTAATGAAGGGGGAATACACAGTGAATCATTTTTTTCAACCCTTTGTTATATTCAAAATTTTTTTTTTTTGAGTAAATAGCATTTTGAATTTGTCTTAATTTGTCTTTGAATAACAAATAAAGTTTTCGATATTTTAAATGTGATTTAACCAGTTTTTAACAGAAAGCTGTTCAGGACAGTATCAGTTTCCATATGATTTACAAATTTAAATGAGATTCGTAAAGCATATAAACAATATTATGTAAAGTGGATCTGTAACATTAAATATTGAGGTTGCTAAAAACCAGTGTTGTCCTCACAGCATGATGAACTGCTGCAGTAACAACGCATATCTCAACAATCTAAATTTATAATTAAAATTGTAAAACTAAGGTAACATTAAACATCATTCCAGAAAGTCCATGACCTCGGCAAGCTCCCTCTGTCGTGCTTGTTTGTGAGCCCATCGCGCCTCAGCTAGCTGAGGAGATATTCGCCACTTTTCATGGAAGATCTGTTTACCACAATCAGGACAATTTTTACCATCTGTTGAGAAAGAACAAACATGACACATATTTACACCTTTCTTTGATATTCTGTTATCAGTTTATTTTATTACACTATGGTCATCAGTAACATACTTAACATTGAGCTACAAAGATGAAGTAAACTGTATACCATTTAGTAATATAATTATCAAAATTAATCTTAAGTTATTATTTACATGTAGAACTTACCTGCAAAGGGAGGTGTCTTTAAATATCTTTTTAAACATCCAAAATGAAATAAATGTCCGCAGTATACTCGTTCTACATTTTTTCTAGGATCTGTCTGTTTTTCCTGAAATCATCATAGTATTATTCTAATTGTCCATCATTCTTTTTTAACATCACGCAGCTCCATCCTGGAAATTAGCACACTTAACAATTCTACATATTAATTAGAAACTACACATATAACTTTAACAGGAATTATGACATATTTTTAAAGATTCAAAAATCTTTAATTCAAGCTCAAAACAACAAAGAAAATTTTATTTCGTCATTCTGAAACACCCTATTATAACAAACTATAAAATAGTAATTTTTTTGGGATGGCAAATTGACATTTGGTTAGATGTGTTATCAACACTGCTTGATGTTTTTCAACAAAATTTTACCAGTTCAGAGATATATGTAATCTGACCGTGACCTTTGATCCTTGAACCAATGACATGACTTCTGACCAGATATTTCCTCTAATTCTTTCTTTGAAATATTTCTTCATTAATTCTACTCAATTTTATTTCATAACATTCTAAACTTTCTACCATTAAAGAGATACAAAATATGACCTTTGATCTCATGACTTTGAATCAAAGGTTAATTCATCACAGTGCACCATTATGTAATCTCATGACTTTGAATCAAAGGTTAATTCATCACAGTGCACCATTATGTAAAATATCACAGTTGGCGTTTCTGTTTTAAGATCCAAGTAACAATTGTAATGACAAAAAGTTTGGCGTTGTGATACTTACTGATGGGTTTGTTGGGAGAGCCTGCTCCTTACATAATGGACACATCATTCTAGGGTACTTCTTTAAAGAATCTTGGATTAGAAATTTACACACTGGAAATAGTGAAGGCTTGACCTGGAAAGGAGGGTCTCTACAACACAATAAACAATCATATTAGTTAATTTTGAAGTTCAAAATATCAAAGCTATTAACTTAGAATAAACTACATTCAACGCCTTAGTGTGTAAATATCAATATATCATATATATTTGAGATTATCATGGTAGATGAAAAATTCAAAATCAAATTTGCAAATTAAAGACTGTTGACTGCAGTGTACACCTACTTGGGTTTCTTTTTTATTGGAGCCTGGACACACCGTCTAGCTATTTCAATTGCCTGGGCTGCAAAATTTGTTTTCAGTAAATCTGGGTAGTTGTGTTCATCCACTTCTACACTGTAACAGATAAGATGTAAATATACACTGTAAATCAAGTTTACTGACACTCAAGGAAACAAAATTTATAGATACTGTAACCATGGAAATATAAAAATTATAGACTCTGCATATATTCATGAAAACATAAAGTTTATAGATATTGTAACCATAGAAACATCAAGATTGAAGACTAAAGACAATTTATTCATGGAAACAATGTTTATATTGTAACCATAGGAATATCAAGATTGCCATTGTAACCATGAAAAAAATCAAAATTATAGACACTGTAACCATGGAAACATCAAGTTTAAAGACATTACATGTATCACCATGGAAACAACAAGATTTCAGACACTGTAACCAATGAAACATTTTAACATCAAAATTTTAGACACTGCAACCACGGAATCATCAAGATAATACAGAGTGTATGTTTGTTGGCCTAGTTCATCAACCCACTAGAGCTATCTGAGCAAAACAAACCACTCTGATTGGGGCTTATAAAGTCTGACGGTCTATTGAATGTGAGTTATCCTGTCTATCATATGATGGGCACTGTTAGCCTAGGTATATATACAATGTAGCCATGGTAACATAAACTACAATGTTTACAATGTTACCATCAATTCTCAGACATGAACTTAATGCAATGTTTCCTATCAGTTGCTCATCCCCTTGACAAACTGGACATATATATTGTCTAATTGAATAAGAGATCACAGAGCGATCTTGGTAGTCAATATCACATGATCTAGATTTTATAACTGTCACAGAGCGATCTTGGTAGTCAATATCACATGATCTAGATTTTATAACTGTCACAGAGCGATCTTGGTAGTCAATATCACATGATCTAGATTTTATAACTGTCACAGAGCGATCTTGGTAGTCAATATCACATGATCTAGATTTTATAACTGTCACAGAGCGATCTTGGTAGCCACTATCATACGATCTAGATTTTATAACTGTCACAGAGCGAGCTTGGTAGCCAATATCATACGATCTAGATTTTATAACTGTCACAGAGTGATCTTGGTAGCCACTATCACACGATCTAGATTTTATAACTGTCACAGAGTGATCTTGGTAGCCACTATCACATGATCTAGATTTTATAAGTTATAAGTTGCAGCAGTATCATCACACAATATTCAGGGCTTTTTTTACTGGTTTGGGATTGGGCATTTTTGCCCTGATTTGGAGGAAAACTGATGAATAGTGAAGGGAAATTTTCAGAAATAAATTGTAAATTTTGGGAATTCGGCTAAAATAAAAATTAATTTTGATATGGAATGGGGTTACTGAGGTTCGAAAATATGGATAGACCTCAATTACATCCACAAATAGTAAACAACATATTAATTACATTATACATTCTACAAACCATTGTACATATGTGCCACTAACAGAGTTTAATCTGACCTGTTTTGATAAGCAGTGTCACTTTATGTTTGTTTTCATTGTTCCTAAAACAGGACCAGTATAGCATGTACAAAATGATAATATTAGAGGTGGAAAGGTCTCAAATAACTCTCAATATTGTAAATATTGTTAATTTACACACAAATTCAGGGAAGCATAAGCCAGCTATATGTCCCTACTCGCTATTTGAAACCATGAACCAGTAACTATTTATTCATCTGTGATTTCCACGGGTAAATATTCTGACATGTTTTATATATTCTGCGTAAAATATATTTTATCATATTGATTGAAATCATCTGCTCTTTCAGTTTTTTTTTCTTCTTCAATATTAGCAATTAAGGCAAAATGCAGAATACTGTGGATGAAAAGGTTATATATTGCTTTCTAAATTTGCTATAACTGGATGTCCCCCAAATTGTGAGGAAAGATGATTTAATTGTTGATTAAGCTATGGCTTATGATAATTAGCTATATACCGTTGATAATGTTAATAAATGTAAACAATTAGACAAGTTAATACATTTGTATCCTTATCATAGTTTATGTGTCTGCCTCTGAATCTCTTTACAATTTTCATTTAAACCCCTATTCCTTGATTCAACATTGTAAATATAGCTATGAACCTACTTATCCCTGTCTTACATAACTGTATTACCACATGTACAGCTACAGATCATGTCAATTATCTCAATTCCAAATTCCACTCAGGACCTTGGATAATCCCTAGGTAAGCTCCCCTGTCTAATAATCCCTAAGGTAAATATCAATTTGACAGGTAGATATTGGACATAAGTCAGTTCATTAACTGTTCCTCAAAGGTAACAAATACTCTGGCATTATCCCAAAAAGGCCAGATGTGGACATATTCTGTTTCTGTGGACAAAAGTGTTTGAGCAAAACCTCAATGGTATGGTCTCAAAGGGAGGGTGTAATACTCTTGAAGTCCAGGTGAAGTTGATAAGAGAAATATTAATCCCTGGAGTGAGACAGATTAAGTCTTGGAAGTGTCATTTGAGTTACAGAATCAATGTTTAAAACTTAGTTTTCATTGTTGACTATAATTTTCAACAATCCTGGCAAAAGACAGTTGACAAAATTAAAATTTGATGAAGTTTATAGGAAGCATTAAACTACATGTAATTCAAACTATACCACATTTGATTTCCACATTTAGTATCTTTTCTTGTATTCCCTTCCTCAGTATATCATGTATCACAACACTATTCTTTTGAAATAGGAATGCAAAGAACATTTTACAAGGTTAAACCAGGGACGTATAATACATTTTATTTATATATTATACGCCCCTGGTTAAACCTGAATATTTAATTTTCATGCATGCAGGTAACTAAATCCTATTTTAGTGTCTGATTCATATCAATTCCTTTTTAAACATATGTATTGATTATCAAACTTTTCAACTGTACCCACTTATCTAAAATGACTATTTCAACTATCAAAGAAAACAGCAAATTATAACATGAGATCCAAATATGTAAATTTCATTCATAATTTCTCATATATGAATGGAAAAACTTTATTGATAAAAAAAAATCAAATTTGTTTTCAAAACTTCCCAACAATGATAACACATAGTTGGTTGGCTGACAGTTTTCCATCTCAAAAGTGATTCACCCAGTGTCTGGGTATCTTCTCTCCGACTGATGTCAGTGTTCTGGCGACATGAGGCAGCAACCTACATCCCCCCTCTCATGAGTGGAACCATCTTTGGCGGTGAACATTTGATTATACTAGTTTTAGAAGACTGCTCCATGGCCTAATTATGCCTTATCCTAACTCTACACTTGTCCAGAAGCTGAAAGGGAGAATTGGGGGCCTACCTAGATTTGAATTATGTTAGAGTAATTTTGAAGTATGTAATGATCACACAAGAACACAGAGCTGTATCTATGCTAATAATTAATTGAGAAGGAATTGTAATACCTGTTTATAAATACATTTCCTACTAAATGACACCTATTTGTTGAAATGGTTGTACACCTATTGTTAACTCCTCTCACCTGTCAACACCTCTTTGACAAATGACCACATCAGTGACACTGCACTGGTTAAGATTATCACACAGTACTGGTCAAAACCAACAGTCTGAAGTGAAATTATCCTCTAACATTCTGGAGTAGTGCTAAGTCTTCAATTGTTGCCCCTTTTCTCACCTTAGTGAAGACTGGGGTGCTAAAACATTACTTTTACTGAGTCCATGACTTGTGGTACTGACCAGGTGTGGTCAACCTTTGACCACTAAAAACAGGAAAAACTGGACATACTCCTTGTCTACCAACACCTTGAACAACCAGTCAACAACAAATCTGAATATAGAAATTCTCCACCGAAACAAAACACTGTATTCCACAGTCAACACCATGCACACGACTGTAAATTATAACAGAAAGACAAGTGTTTTTTATGGCAACAATCTTAGGTGAGAAATGTAAATCTTTTTCCAATTACACTTATTTCTCCTACCTATCATAATCATATAACAGAGATCTTCCATGATTTCATGGTCTCTGTCATTGATTGAACCTGGGACTAGGGATCTTGGTGCCCACCATTTGAGGATCTGTTTTCAGTTCTTGAAGATTTGTTTAGTTTTTTTTTTTTTTTTTTGTTACAGGTGTTGTAAATGTTCATGAACTGGTCTTCATTGAATGTACTAAATGATGGAACAAGATTTTTTTATGGGGATATAGTGATAAAATGAACACCCTTTATTAAGTTGTATACTTATTAAATTCAAAATAGATGATGATGATGATGATGATGATGATGATGATGATGATGATGATGATGATGATGATGATGATGATGATGATGATGATGATGATGATGATGATGATGATGATGATGAAATGATGCACATGTACAAGAGCGCAACAAGTATAATAAAAGTTCAGAGTTTTTTAAAACTATTTTTTTTTTTAATTTTAAATTTTATATTTTATTTTATTACATTAATGTTTTTGTAACACCAACACTTAAACATTAGGAATTATCAACATTTTTAATAAATCAATTCTGTTACTTCTCATGTGTCAACCCATATGCCATTAACTCAATTCATTGCATGGGTATACATACCCTAAACAGTGTATTTATCAATGTTTACTTAATTTAGAAAATCTGATACTTGAGAATGACTGATCATGTAGGTAAGAAATAGCCATAAAACAATTACTCGCTGTTCAAATCCAAGATGGAGAGCTATAGGCCATTTTGTTTTTCAGATTATTCTAAAAATGGGACAATGCTTAACTAGGTACCAAGAGGAAGCTAAATATGAAATTTGAGAAGGATCCTGTCACAGCCATAACAAACTACTGTATTACTGTTGACATCCAAGATGGCTGCCTGTGGGCCACCTTGATTTCAAATCAGTCCAAAAAAGGTACAATGCACAACTAGGGACCAAAGGGAAACCAATACCTATGAAATATCATCCATCTAGTACTTCCTCAGAAATAGCTGTAACAAGGTTTTACTCTCAAAATCCAAGATATTTGCCTGTCAGCCATCTTGATTTCGGATCAGTCCAAAAAAGGTAAAATGCACAATTAGGGACCAAGGGGAACCTGCATATGAAATTTGAGAAAGATCCATCCAGTACTTTCTCGGAAATAGTGATAACAAACTTTTGCTTTCAAAATCCAAGATGGACGTCTGTGGGCCATCTTGAATTTGAATCAGTCCAAAAAAGGTACACTGCACAACTAAGGACCAAAGGGAAGCTTCATATGAAATTTGACAAAGATCCATCCAGTACTTTCTCAGAAATAGCGGTAAGAAACTTTTACTTTCAAAATAAATGATGGCCGACAAGCAGCCATCTTTAATTCGGATCAGTCCAAAAAGGTCAGAAATAGCGGTAACAAACTTTTACTTTCAAAATAAAAGATGGCCGACAAGCAGCCATCTTTAATTCGGATCAGTCCAAAAAGGTATAATGCACAACTAGGGACCAAAGGGAACCTGCATATGAAATTTGAGAAAGATCCATCCAGTACTTTCTCGGAAATAGCGGTAACAAACTTTTACTTTCAAAATAAAAGAAAAGAGTCCAAAAAAGGGCTGCCTGAAATTTGGTCAGTACTTTCTCGGAAATAGCGGTAACAAACTTTTACTTTCAAAATAAATGATCTTGCCAATTCGATCAGTCCAAAAAAGGTACAATGCACAACTAGGGACCAAGGGGAACCTACATATGAAATTTGAGAAAGATCCATCCAGTACTTTCTCGGAAATAGCGGTAACAAACTTTTACTTTCAAAATAAAAGATGGCTGCCTGTCGGTCATCTTGAATTTGAATCATTCCAAAAAAGGTACAATGCACAACTAGGGACCAAGGGGAACCTACATATGAAATTTGAGAAAGATCCATCCAGTACTTTCTCGGAAATAGCGGTAACAAACTTTTACTTTCAAAATAAAAGATGGACGTCTGTGGGCCATCTTGAATTTGAATCAGTCCAAAAAAGGTACACTGCACAACTAAGGACCAAAGGGAAGCTTCATATGAAATTTGACAAAGATCCATCCAGTACTTTCTCAGAAATAGCGGTAACAAACTTTTACTTTCAAAATAAAAGATGGCCGACAAGCAGCCATCTTTAATTCGGTTCAGTCCAAAAAGGTATAATGCACAACTAGGGACCAAAGGGAACCTGCATATGAAATTTGAGAAAGATCCATCCAGTACTTTCTCGGAAATAGCGGTAACAAACTTTTACTTTCAAAATAAAAGATGGCTGCCTGTTGGTCATCTTGAATTCGAATCAGTCCAAAAAAGGTACAATGCACAACTAGGGACCAAGGGGAACCTACATATGAAATTTGAGAAAGATCCATCCAGTACTTTCTCGGAAATAGCGGTAACAAACTTTTACTTTCAAAATAAAAGATGGCTGCCTGTCGGTCATCTTGAATTCGAATCAGTCCAAAAAAGGTACAATGCACAACTAGGGACCAAGGGGAACCTACATATGAAATTTGATAAAGATCCATCCTGTACTTTCCCAGAAATAGCGGTAACAAGAATTGTTTACGGACGGATGGACCACGGACGCATGGCGATTTGAATACCCCACCATCTGATGATGGGGGGCTAAAAAGAGATAGCAGTGACTTTAATAGACCATGAAGAAAACCTTGCTTGATATTCCTTTCGTAAATAATAAAAACATATACAGTAAGTAAAACTGTCTCTCTATACTTACGTGACTTGTTTGGCAGGATAGCCCTCTGGTATTCCTATCCGTATATTCATGTAGTAATTATCTTGTCTTATCTTAAGACCTATTTCCGATGTTTTCTGTTTTAACTTCAGAGAATCCTCTGATGTTAACAAGTCTTTTTTCACAGTTTGTATTTCATCACTACATACACACAGTGGATTTTCATGTAGAAAATTCAGCACAAAATTGGTCAAGAGCAAAATCTGAAAGATAAATCATGGTCTTTCAAAATGATATATCTCCATCTCACCTGTGAACAATCACCTAGACAAAATCCTGGACTCACTACAAAGATTTTTCTTTTGTCCTTTTTTAAATATTCTGGTGAAAGCTTTTTAATTCATTAATATGAAAAAAGAACAAACAGTATAAATATTTAATCTTTTTTTGTTTTTCTTCCCTCAATCATTTAACGAACATTCCTATCATGGGGAGAGAGAATGCATGAAATAAAGGTTGGTAGATTATAAACTGCGAGCAACAAAATTTAGACACCCATTACAACAATTTGTATCACTCCTTCAACGTATCATTTTAGAAACACGAAAATATCTCTACACTGTTTACCTGACGTTGACCGACCCACTTCTTGGCTTGTTGCTCGCAGACCTTGAGCAGGCCATCCAGCAGTTTCTCTGACAAGGTCTTACTCTTCAGTTCCATAATGATCGGTTCATGAGGATATTTAGGTGGAAACATGACGATAAGTGTGACATGTTTCTGGTCCGTTACCCTGACAAACAAAACACAAAAAGCGTCAAATATTTCTTGTAAGTTAATCTGTAACATGACAAAATGATCACTTTCTTTTAATGTGTTATTCATTAATCTTAAAATCAAGTATTGCATTAAGCATGATACATTTTTGATCTGTTAACTTAACATGACAATAAGCATCACATATTTCTGATCTGTTACTTTTACATGACAATAAGCATCACATATTTCTGATCTGTTACATTAACAAGACAATAAGCATCACATATTTCTGATCTGTTACTTTTACATGAAAATAAGCATCACATATTTTTGATCTGTAACCTTTACATGGCAATAAGCATCACTAATATAGATATTTCTAAGTCTCTTTTAAGCTTATCATGATGACATCGTATGACAACAATTGTGGTGTCACTGCACAACAGAAAGAATACATGGAAAACTGAATTGTTTTGAACATAATCTTACTTGATGCCAAGTCTGACTGACAGCTCTACACATGTGACCAGAGTTATACCCTCAATTACTGGAGCTTTCTGCTTCACCTGTGCAAGCTCCGATTGTATGACCTGATCCCTTGTCTCCTCCATCTTGAATTGAGGGGTGATGGTACTACTCTGAAGTAAGACCAAAAACAGTTACACTGTATTTATCCAATAAATATCCCATGCATGTCTATAGTAATTTAGTATAATGATCAAATTTTCTTTCATATTTTTTCCTGTAATAAGCCTACACCTACAGGTGGTGTATTGGTTCCCTTGACTTAATGATGGGTGAATTATATACTTATGATAATCTGGTCACTCTACAAAAAATTGATGAATAGGACTGTAGGAAACTAGGGTGAATTATTCAGAGGGTTAAAAGGGTCATCCTAGCTGAATGCTTAATAGGCAATGAGCTGATATTCACAACTTGAGGCTGAAAAGATGTATCTCCCTTTTCACACACACACATATATATATACAATGTATATATATAGATGTAACATAAAGATGCTTTGTGCATCTATAAAATACTTGAAAAGAATAAAATCAACACAACAAACGTACTCAATATTATAATGAATGTATTATCTGATGATGGTCATTGGGCCTGAAAATGTCTGGGGAATACACTTGTGTTCATTTTATTCTTTTCAAATACATACATATATATATATATTTCCAACATTTACTGTTCAATATGTCAAAACCATTAGCTGTACTACAGATGAGAAATAAGAAGCATTATATTGTATACAACAAAATATATGATTTAGCTTTTACAGATTCATGAAGTAACAATAAACATTTAAGGTGCATAGACTTCAATCACATTTTGTATTAAGTTATAGGTTATAAATTACAAGTAAAGCTGAACTTAACCTCCTCCTCATAGATCCAGAGTGAGGAGTGAGAGACAGCATAGTATACATTTGCTGCAACTCGTACCATTTTGTTCTTTGTGGTTTTTTCTGTGTGTTTTTTTTTTCTATTTTACAACAAATCCTGAAAATATATTTTCAGTTCTTGTGAAACTTTTTTACTTTGGTACCACATTTATGTTGCAAAATTTATGTTGATATCAATTTCAATGTTTTGGTTATGCAATTAAAAACCCTTGTACCAGTAGAACAATTTAAAACACAATAAAAACACAAAAAAAATTATTTTTATATGGTCTCCTTGTAGTAGCTGGTGGCTACCTCATTGAACAACATATGGATGGCCAATATCATAAGGGTACAGTGACTTGCCCAAGGACACAATCACGTCAACACAGACTTGTCAATTTCTTAGCTTTCTAAGAAACACACAATGTTACAGGTAGGGAGCACCAAATCAACCACCTTGGATCTTCACCTAAGGCTCCAGCACTACAAAATCAGCTATCATTGTCCCCCTTGTCTATGAGATCTGAGGGCACATAAACTAAATGCAGATGAGTAACCTGTAATTCCAAACCATCTCTTAATAACCATCAAAATAATGGGGCCAAGTTCAATTAATGCACAATCACATTGTTTTGAAGTTGTTTTGTCAACAAATAAATTTCTGATACCCTAATTTCGAATACTAAACTAATAAATTTTCAACACAAAATGAGAGATGTTAGTAAATGGTAGTCTCTTCTGAGGTCTTGCCTCAAATTATATGACAGCGGCATTTTGTGAAGATAGGGGAGTCCTGCTTTCACTTTCCAAAATACGGATCCTTGTAAATTTGCATAACATAGTTGTAGAAAAAAAACAAAGGATCTTCTCAAGTATAAAACAACAAAAAAGGGTAAGTGTTCAACTTGAACATTCAAAATGACGATATATATGGCGTAAAATTTTCACACTACACTTAACTAAAATCTGAGAATATTGGTGACCAGTGTTGTCATCAATGATAGACGATGTTGACATATTACCATTCATAGTGCGATTAAATTCACAATTACGGCACTTTAGATGACATATAAATCTTCAATAACAATGTAACAGATACCTGCAATAGTCAATGATTTACCTATGAATTGTGGTAATCAAAAAGAATATAAACCACACGAAATATAAGTGAATCTGGATTGATAAATACTGACATTTCACCACAATGCCAGTAAGAAGGTGGCGTTGTTGTAGAATTCTACTTCCGGAGCAGTGATATGCCACATTACAATTTGTAGTTTTTATGTCTCTTGTCATTTGTGAATCTAAAATTAATCTGACGGTACAAAACAATTGACCACTTTGAAATGAAATGAAAAATATTACACATGATTTTAACAAGTACCTTTTATTATATATTCCACAACTGCAGATAATAACTATAGTTTGTTTCATATTTCTGACAATTTACCTGCAGGCCGACTGGTCACCTGTGTGAATTTACTAAATGCTTATTCTTTCTTTATTGAAGTTTAATTTTGGATAAAAGATAAACATGTGTATTTTGGCCACTTTCAATATATATTTTCTGCATAAATAACGAATTCAATATTGATTCTTGGCATTAGTTATAAGATCTATTAAACAGCTCATAAAAACATCAAATATCAAACATCTTTATGGCGTCTTGTGGCCATTTTATACGTCTCTGATTTTACTAACGGTATTACTTCATGAAAAGCGTACAAAAATTGTAATGGACGGACGAACGGACACTGGGAGCTGACGGACGAACTAAATATGAATCGCCATTTGATCATCCCAACATGATCTTCGGTATGATGGTGAGCTGAATACTTCTATTTAGTTGTAAATGCTGGATTCTCTCCCTTCCAATGAATAAAAGGCATGGGCTTTTATAATCTCACCTCAGGGGAATTAAACATTCGTGGAATGAATCCTTCCCACTCTGGTCGCATCAATGCGTTAATAAAGTGGGACGCGGATTTGTGCTTTTGTTCGCGTCATCTGATAACTTTGAACTACATGAAGAACTTGTCTGTTCATAAAACAGTGATAGAACTGAGGAGAGTGAGCATTCATATAGTGTACTCTTATATTGTAGTATTTTGCTAATGTACGTTTGTATATATATTGAGATCAAGTGTTGAAGTTACTAATGAAATTAGAATAGAGCAGTAAAAATTTGAATTTGAACTTTAATTTGAAATGGATTAAAGAATCTGTTGGAATCTCGGGATATTAAGGAAAAGACAAATTTGAATTTGAACTTTAATTTGAAATGGATTAAAGAATCTGTTGGAATCTCGGGATATTAAGGAAAAGACTCTCTTCTCCCTCCCCCCCCCCCTCTCTCTCTCTCTCTCTCTCTCTCTCTCTCCCTCCCCCTCTCTCTGTCTGTCTGTCTCTCTCTCTTCATCTCTTCAGTTCCAGAAATTATAGCCAACTACAAAGTAACTAAAACCGAAATTCGACTATTCAAATACATTACTAACACTAGGAAGCAAACCGTTTGTGTTATCATTCTGTAAATCTGTTTTCAAACAAGTCCGTGGTGTGACGCTCAAAGATGAAATAGTGGCCAAGTTTATATTTGTATTGAACAAATCATAATAAATCCCTATTCAATTACGCAATTTTAACATGTGGCTGTATAGAAATACTTTTATGTTCGGCTAATGATGGCGTGTGTTTCTTGTCCTGTGTTTCTTTGATTGTCGATAAGATCCGCAAACTGCATTAGCCGAGTAAGATTGTTGAAGTAAATATATATATCTATCCACTTTATCTTGTCTATTTGTCCCCTAGTATTGTCGGCCCCTTTTATCCGAAATCCTTTGTTAAAAAATCGATCTTCGATCATGATTGATCCGAACGATTGCCAATGATTTTACCCAGGTGTTACAGGTAAGTGTGTAGAGACTTTAGCCGTCTCGCGCTGATTAATGTCCTGCTTGAGGCTATTTGTATCTTACGTCTTCAGGTCTGAAAGTGACCACTGCAGGACCAAGGATTAGATTTTGTATACGATAATGTTGCTCACATATTTGTCATCTATGCAATAAAAATTGAGTCGGTATTGTCTGGCTGTCGTGTTGTCGTGTCATTCGTAACCATGACATCCTCGCGCTGGTCAATTTCATGTGTGAACCCCTGAAGGCCTTTGTTGATTTTTTAACAAACCACGGTATTTATGGTCTAATATGTCAACTATGACTAGTTCTAGACATTTTCATGATCGGTTCGCTCCTTCCCAGACCAATTTTCCAGGAAATCTGACAACAAACAAATGTTACGACGATCTCGTGCAGACGAGACATGCACCGATTCATCGTGGGTCATTAATTACCATGGTAACGGTATCGGGAATAGCCATAAATCTTATTGAAATCAGTATTTCACGGATATAATTCAATAGCAAACACATAAAGTCTATTGTATGGTGTCTATAATCAAATAAAGTCCAACAAATGTAATGTTTGGACACACATGACGTCAAATAATACAACTTAGGGTATCATTATCAAGACATCTTCCTGGCTTCATGTACTATTTTATCAGTGTTTATATCTTCATCCTATTTAGAGCTGTAGCCTGAACACCTGATAATCAATCCTGGTGTTCTTCAATTTTTTTTTTTTTATCTTAAAACATTGAACGAAGGGCCATTGTCATAGTGAGGTCTATGAACAAACAAAATAACGATAAAATAAAATTTCATTGGAAATTTAGTAAAAAGTTACAGTACTCGATTTAATGGCTATTAATTTTAACAATCATTTAAATCTTTGCAGGGAACTCTTCGTTTGTACATTCTTTTCACAATATTCAGACAAATGTTCATTTTTGACTACTACTCGAATTCGAAAATGCCGGATATTTGAAAACTGACAAAATGTTTACATATTGTGTTATCAATGCCATCTTTATTCAGAGACCGAAGTACATAATATTTACCTCACCAGAAGGTAATTTTAACATTGAAAAAAATCACATCGATTATTAACCTTAGTGAAATTTTCTGTGAAAAAATTAAGATAAAATTTATTGATTTTAGCAGTAGTGTGAACAAAGGGTTGTCATAACTTTTTTTCAAAAACACTACATTGAACGACCTCAAAATAAGGACTAATGGTTTTAGATGGGTTTTTTTCCCGACCCGTCCTCGAACGACCCTGAGATTGGTCATCGGCTGGATATTATCAGAATGACCACTGGCCCTTTATTGTTTCGGATATTTGAGATAAGACCGGAACTAAAAACCTATTGTTGACCAGATTTGTCCAAGATTAATACGTCACTTTATTGAATTGTAACGAACACCCGCTATTATCCTCGTCGCTATTATCATTTCCACTATTTTATCACACCTCTGTGGAACCAATTAGCACCCCGCGAAAGCTATTGTACCAATTACACAACCCTTTGAAATCACTGATCTCTACACTAAGCTAACCAGTCGGGTGAGTTTGACAAGTTCCGGTCAAGAATATATGATGACCTTTACTAATTAGGTATGAATAAAGTAAATAAAGACTGGTCAAATGGACTTTACCACGACAACTGGAACTCTGTTATGTCATCGCTGAAGATAAGGGTCTTGGTTGTAAAAACGTCTGATAACGGCCTGGGTCAAGAGAGAAAACCTATTGTCAACATGTTCTTGAGTGAAACTATTACTGAATAAATATAGAAATATTATTATTTAAACATGGTGATACCCGTTTTGTTTGTATTGTCATTAAAAGGTGTTACGTAAACCAAGGAGTGTTTTAACTTCTTAGATTTAATAATTGGACAAGAATTGATTAAACAGAAAATAGGTCTCTCAGGCAATGCGACAACCAGTTTTGCCAATCTCTTTTAAATAAAACTTTTTTTTTCTAAATAATTAGTGTTTGTTTTTTTTAATCAACTTAGCAATTTTACTGGGAATAAAACTATGTTAAATACTGGTATCTCTAGTTTTAAATTCAAACATGTGTAGTAAATATTTTATTACCGCAACTAAATGATGATTTAAAACAAGAAACAAGCATAATTTTCTTGTTTTTTTATGATAGATAGACTCGACTCAAGAGTTGTTTGTATTTCAGAGGCAAACGTATATAAGATAACAAATTAAAAAATAAATAAAAAAGACACATACTAACAAACTATCGTGTTTAACTTAAGAATGTAACGAAAATCGTTTAAATTCATGGTTCAGTTCGTATTTTACGTAATATGTACATAAAAAAATATTAAAATAGTTTAACAAATTCTTGACAGCTGTGAAGCAGCCATGAAAGATGAAAGGTGGAAGATAATGATATCGACAGCAAACTTCAGTGAACCATTCAATTTTATTTCATTCTAACGTTAAAACTCAATATACTTATAAATCAAAAGTAGATTTAATTGTCTAGCCACGCGTACACGTTGCAGCTGACTCTAACGGGTGTTTTAAACCACATGACAAATATTGTTTAGAGTTTATACATGTACAGGTTATTTCAGTATCTTTGTTAGCGGTCTATGAAACCCTGATCACTTTATGTTTACAAATGTTGATATGTTAATCAAAGGAGCCGCTCAGGTGATCGAACAGGTGATGGGGCGTCTGATCAATTACAGGTGTTCAAAACATGGATGTATCACCTTTGTTATTGGCCTCGGACACCGAAACCCTATAACGGTGACGTCACGTTCAATACTTGCCCTACGGTATAGGAACGCCGGTTCTGTTGTCAACAGGTGATATTCGGTTTTCGAGAAAACTGTTTATTTTTAGATATTATTAAAATGTAAACAGAATTCTATCGAGCCCGTGGTTGTTATCACGTCTAGAGAAAATGAAAATGAGGTGTAATTAATCTGATACACTTAGGTCATTACGGAATCTAAACAACACGTGCATTTCAAAATCACGCGATAGTCTCGCACGTTTTGTTTATTAATGTTTAATAAAGAGAACGTGCAAAACTCGTGGGAACGGTTTCTTTTGGCTTCAGCACCCGGATAAGAGTTTTCAATTAAACTAGATATAAATAGATCACAGAAAATGACACCATTCGAATAAATTTGGGCATCAGTTTTGTTTATACGGAGAGGTACATGTATATAGAATATCTAAGTCCGTGGGAGATCTTTTCAATTAACGGAAATCAATTATTTTCACATTTAAATTGTAATTATGCATATATCCATATGGAGAAATGAGTAATTATGATTTGAAATAACATTCAGTACCTTCGTCGATTAACCGATGTTTATGTCGCCAATTTTAAAACGTATTTTACGGTATCCAGTTTCTCCAAATATTTACAATGACGATCTTGTAAAGCTTTCAACTTTAGATCATGCAAGAAAGGCGTTCATTGCAATCGGGGAAACACTCGTGTCATTTCTGAATTGATATACAGAAGAGGTTTAAATTGGTTAAATGACATGTATCGCGTTCATGGTTAAGGTTAATTACTTAAATGATTAGCAATAATGAATACTTCAGTTTTGTGAAAGCTGTGAGAGGGTATTTTTTTCTTTAAAGAGTTATGTGTATATTGAAATATTATGTAAATTTCTTTAATAAGGACCTGAATCAAGTTTGGTTTTCTGGAAATACGAGAAAGTCGTAAATTAGATATTTTATCTGTAGCAACAACTGAGAGACTCCAATTGAAATGGAATGAAATAATCATTTTTTCCACCCCAACTCGCATTTACCGTCTGTCTGTTGTCTTCCGTACTAATGGCATTACGTTTTATATTCCATACATAAAATCTTAGGTATAGACTCGGAAAGATGCATTTAACTTAAACAGGGCCAGTTTTGTAGTTGTTTTGTATAAAGATACAAGTTAAAGTTTCAGACTCTGTTTTGTCTGGGAAGAGAATAAATATGAGCTTCCGCTACAGAATAGCAGTTGTTGTACACAAAGGTCAAGAAATGAATAGATTGACCACTAGAAGAGATTAGTTTCCGTTTAATTGCGTGTTTTGAACGATGTGAAATCAGAAATCATGTCTGTTTTGTCAGCTTTGGCATGCGAGAGTTGAAAAATCAAGCGACATTAATTTGCTCATATCGAAACACTTTGAACTTTATTAATTAAAAACTTCATTTGTAAAGATTATAAAAGTTCTGTTAATAGTTTGATAAGTAAACTGAGTATCTATATCACACGGTAACATCTTTCCGATCTTCATAAATTTGAAAGTGGCAATACAAGGCGAGTTTGATTTTGAATAACGGACCATTTCCAATCCGTAATCCGATATCAATGGGAATACCGGTGTCAGCTATTGTAGTTGTAGTTCGAGTGGGTACTCTGCATACAATACAGGGCCGTCTGCACTACAACAAAGTAATCTCCTCCCCATTGATATCAAAGAAACTGACAGGTCCAGCGAAACGAGTTGACCTTTCTTTGCGACCCCTGGCCGTGACCCCTGCTCCGACCTTGGCTGGATATCACATGATCGGTGCGATAGAAACAGTGATGACCGTGGGAGGGGGTAAATCAAGACAAGACAGTCGGAGGTTTATCGTTGATAATCCGATGAAATCAAGTCACGTGACAGCCACTGTCACTTGAGTGCCAAACGTCATCCGCGCTATCACAATCTCCGTGACGTCATATGAGGCACCGTTACGGTTGGTATAGAGATATCCTAATTAGGACATGCAATTACAACAAGGTGAAAGTGTCAAGGTCAAATGTCAGGAATAGGCATGGGTCATAAGTGTCTACAAAGTTACAATGACAATTTTACAGCGTTGTCGTGCAGTAAACCTTTCATTGGTAACACTATAAAAACAATCGGCTTGGTAATGTTTGTAAAACAATTATCTATGATTTTAGCCAATCCGTAATAAAACTGACACCTTCTGGCATATACGACACATAAATGGTGACTTATTTTATTTTATTTTTGTTTTGTTTAAAAAGGTTTTGATGTTTTACATAAACTTTTTGATTCATGTGTGTGTGTGTATCGTAAGACTATTAACTACAGGGCCTATATAGAGAGCTTTATAGAGGGCTTTAAATGTAACCTTGTTCCACTTCTCTTGTTTGTAAACATACCTGTTTTCTAGATTCTCCTTTTTTAAACCTTGTTTTCGTTGTGCATGAAACATAAATGTATTTTTGAAAATTCAATTCAACACATGTCTTGAAAGCAAGAACGCAACAATATTTTTTTTTTTTTTTTCGATATTTGAACAAGTTTGCTTACACAAACTATAACATTTTCTCATGTCAAATGTGTTTACGGTTGGATGGTCTCGTACCTTGAAAACATTCTGCCATGACTGGACGGCTGAACAATATTCGAAACTTAAAGGGAAGGAAATTTCTTGTTTGATATATATTGCTACCTTGCTTATAGCGTAAATAATTTAAAAAGAAAAAGGAAGAAAAAACAACAACAAAAGGAATCCCCCCCCCCCTAAAATATTTATGCTAATGAGATACCTGTGTTTACGAAAATCCACCCTACAGGTGTTACAATGTGTCAGGTGACGTCACCAAGTGACTGTTGGGATGCTGTGTCATCACCCCACCTGGTTGTGTGGGCACGTGCCCCTTTATTTACGTGGTCCCAGGAGAGAAAGGTCAGAGCAGATGTTCAACTATAACGATCCCAATTATAATTTAACCGTTGTGAAAACCGTTATGAAAAGCAAACATTTTCTGCCAGAATTACTAAGTTCACATCAGATTTCAAAATATTTTATATCCTAAAACACTCCGACGAGTAATTTTCTTTGACAAAGCTATCATAATTCTGTTAAAAATATGACAAACTTACGGAGAGAAATTAGTCATTGAACCATTAAAATGTCGAGCAGGTAGTTCATAGCTGCAAGTGAAATGGGCAGGTGCCCGCTTTAAATTATAAACGCCCAAACATTTATCGTTACAAGTGATCTGTGTCAAAATCCTCGATATCCAACCACAAAGGAACAAAGAGACGATGTCACTCGGGAAAATATTTTCGTTATACTAAAAAATTGTATATATTGTACTATAACCAATGATTTAGTTCAAGAGGGCACAGAATGTATGTATAGCTTCACAGAATATTGTTAGTGGTCACAGAATAACGAAGTCCGTGTAAAGATTGTTAGATATTTGTGACATACAGAGTCACGGTCGTATGATAGAGACACGTTCCTAATAGAGTATACGAGGATTTTTTCCACGGACTTCGTCGTGTTTTTTTAAATCAGACTTCCTTATTCGAAATAATCATTTCCATTAACATGCAGATTTTAAAAAGGTCAAACGTCTAACCCATTTCGCATTCCTTACGATATCACATCTAATCTCCACCGTGATTTTCCACTAATGATATTCATCACAACAACTTTTATATCTTCCACTGTAATAAATGTGCACACTTTGGTAAATACGGTTTATAGAAACAAGGAATATAGATTAAAATGTTTGTATTCAATAATATCCTTTTAATAACATCTACAATAATTACAAAATGACGGCGATAATGGGTCTGATTATAAACTTTAATGTTTTGAACTTGTAAAAAGTATCAGCTTTCTGCACATTATCCAATGCTAATTCGTAATGTGTTTTCTTTCTTCACTGTGCAACCAATGTCAGATCCGTTAATTTGTACCATATCGAATTAAGCCTGTGTAGCTCATTAACTTCAATAGCGCCGATGGACCGCCTGATGCTTTTAGACGCCGAAATCGGGCTATAACAATACAATACTGATTTCTCTGTCAGATTACTACAATACAGAAACAGGCTATAAGCGTGTGAAATCCCGTGAGTGTGAACAACGTATGTTATTTGAATCGAGCATTGTGATTGGCTGATGTGGTCATGTGATCGTCTGACCCGCCAAATCTCAAAAGAGATCAGGAAGCGTGCCTACGTCTTCATATATTTACAGTTGTGACAGGTAAACAGTTATCATTCACGGGATATACAACGCACAAAAACACATTGGTGGACTTTAAGAAGAAACATGTTCGCAAAAGGACGGCGATCGGCCTTAAAGAGGAGGGATGAGAATATTATTAGGACTTTAACGTACCATGATTCTGACGAAGGTGAGCTTAGCCCCGGTGATGGCGATTTTGTGCGGTGTGGCAATCTGTTTTCGCCTTGCCAGTATAAGTCTGATAGAATTGACGAACAGCAATCGGAATTTATTGAAATTGATTTACCATCCTCACCAATGTCTAGTCCAAGGTCATCACGAAGTGTTATGAGGCGTATGAAACGATCGCCAATTCAGTTTACACTCGACGAAGGAAATGAGGGCGACGTCGACGACGATGAGCAGAGGGTACCGGCACCCGGAACGGCCATTGAATCGCCATGTCCTAACTCACCACCACACAATAGATTACGTGCTCTTAGATTATTCGATACACCACATACGCCTAAATCTTTACTTCAAAAAGCTAGGAGACGTCGATTAACAGACGAACGAATAGCAAAAGACAGGAAAAGACTAACACCACCTTCGGAAAATCGCGTGGAAGCAAATTTCAACCCATTCACACCAAATAACAACAGACCACAGACTGTGAATACCTCCATGAAACGCAACAGAAACCAAATGGAAAGGTAAAAACCAGATACTTTCGTAAATTTACTTTAAATTTCGTCTAAAATTAGATATGACGATAACGTTATATTACGTCACGGTAGGGGGAGGAGGGGGGGTCACGGTCATGAATGATGATTCATCTGTACAAGATTTGAAAGTTTCATGTGGCCGTTTCTGTCTGTAGTTTTGCTGTTTAATTATCGGTATTGATATTGCATACATGTTGCTAATGGACGCATAGAATGTATTAAACAGCTGTTGATCATGTAATATTCATGGTCACTTAAATCTTTGAATTGAATTGTGGAGTAATAATTTTTTCAACAGTTGGTATATTGGTGTGAAAGTTTGTTGCAAAGACCCAGAATTTATAAGACTGTCCTGCTCAATGATTTTTTTTGCAGACATTACATGGCATTTAAAGAATTAGGAAAAGGTTAGAATTTATTGAAATATCGAAAGATAAGCCCAGTAGGAACAAATATTATGGTCAGTATCTAATGGTATGCATACTGTAGTTGGTAAGGAACATCTTTGGAAATTGACTCAATTTTGAAGGACTTCTTCGTTTTTAACAACTGAACGCACTCAATACAAAACTCACATTTGACATTTGATAGACAACTTTTGTTCCAATGGTTTTTGTTTAAAGTGATTATTTTAACCCCTCACCAAAAAACAACAATTTCAGAAAGTGTGATATTATTGAAATTTGTCGAAAGATTCAAAACTGTTTGAACAGAGGTTGTTGATAACAGAAAACAGGAGTTTAAGTTGATGAAATGTATTGAACATCTATTGATATGGTGTTTTATACAGGACATATTCCTTCATATAAATTAAAAAAAACTATACATACCCAGACATTCTTGACTTTCTGAGGGTGTTCTGAACGAGAATGCAATTTCCACATTTTCTTGATAAGCATAATTTTGGAGTGTATCAAAATACCATAAAGGGATGTTACTAGATTGATACCATGTCATAATCGTAAGTTGGTATTTTTTTTGCAAATCAGCCAGTAACACTATAAATCATCTTCATTTTGTTTAAATGACCTATTTAATGAATTTCAATCAATATATTCCACTGCTCAAAAGATTCCCATACAAAAATCAGCTTCCTACTTGGCTAACTTGCATCAAACATTGGATATGACAGTCACAAAATAATTACAAAAATTTGAAATTTTAACATTTCATTTGTTGAAAAGCACATTCAATAGAAATTAAAGCTAGATTATGAGATTATAAAGGGCAATTATAGCAAAGTGTCAAGATCATGATTCCTGACAGAAAATTACATTACTAACAGGACTGGAGCTTATGATAAAAGTACAGTAAACTGTTCAGGACAGAAAGGAAGATTAAGGAGCTAAGATTACAGTACATAATGTCATGCTGGAGGATTATAGAACAGTAATTGCACTGTCTCCCAGTCTTGACATCCACATACATTATCTGATAACGTGTTGACAAGGGTTTAAAGGACTAAAAAGGTAGCAAGCTACAGTTACTTACAGCTTGATGATCAACTTCTGTCTAGAGACATTTGAGATGATATTTTGATAACTGTTTCCATTTTGTACATTTTGTTCATTCAATTTCAGAAGCATATTGGATGATTCTACAGAAGATGAGATTGAAGTCGACATGCCATCAACAAAGGTATGTCGTCAATGTATCACAAGAGGCAGAATAATTTCTGGTTTCATGTTCATTGATTATGTTCCAAATCATGTAAGAGATCATTTGGAAATTTAGATTGTAGTTTCTCAAACCCAGATAAAATTTTTCATCAATCACAGAAACTGTTTAATGCATCGAAAATTAAAACACTTAACATGCTCTAAAAATGTCTTCTTGTCTTGACAGAAAATTGCACTACATGAGATTAATACATCACGGTATAATGAAGAGTTTCATGAAGTATGTAAGCTTGGTGATGGAGAGTTTGGCAGCGTCTACAAATGCGTGCATCGACTAGATGGCTGTACCTACGCAATCAAAAAGTCCAAAATGCCAGTAGCAGGAAGTGTATATGAGTAAGTTTGTGTGATGCCAGATCACTAGAATTTGCAATAGCTCTATATAGACCTGAGGATTTTAAAGTACATGCAAAATAAACTAAAGTTACATAAATTTACTGTGTTAGTGGTATATATAATTCATGATTCGGATACCTGTATAAGTTTTAAGTGGATCTGCGATTTTAAGGGGATTTTGTCTTCTTTCAAGTAAAATCACAATAACTACTTGATATCTTCATCCTCATTTTTCAAATGTGTATTCTAAAATAAATTTGTGTTGTGAACAGGAGGAATGCAATGAATGAGGTGTACGCCCATGCAGTACTAGGAAAACATCAACATGTTGTACGGTACTACTCTGCCTGGGCAGAGGAAGACCACATGTATATACAAAATGAATACTGCAATGGTAAGTGAATGATAATTTCAAAGCAAACGTACAGTATTTGTGATTCTTTGGTCATGTTAAAGTTCAAAATTGCAGTGTAAGTCCAGTGAATACAAACACTGGTTTTGTGAAATGGTCCTTATCCTAATTGTGACAAATTTTAAGAAAGTTTTCATATAATTATGTGATTAAACAAAGAAAATGTGTTATTCAACCTTTTCATGAATTGCATATTCATTTAAATGTTTTTCAGGAATTTAATGTAATTTGAACTGTCTTGAATGTGTAGCATAGAAGACTGTACTAGACATATGATAAATTTGTTTGTTTGTGGTACAGGTGGCAGTCTTGCAGAGGTAGTTGATGAGGATAAGCGGACAGGAAGAGTGATGAGTGAGACAGAACTGAAAACCATTATGTACCAGGCTGTCCTTGGCCTCAAGTATATTCATTCTCAGAATCTCGTGCACCTGGACATCAAGCCTGGCAATATCTTCATCCATAGAAATCCCAAGTTCCTGCAGTCCCCAGAAAGTGGCATGGAGTCATGTGGAGAGGAGGACGAAGAGGAGGAAGCCATCATCTACAAAATAGGTAAGAAGTTAGAGAGTAATTCATATTAAACTGAGACTTAATAAAAGTATTGAGATTATCCTTTGATAAATTGTAAAAATGATGATTTCTATCAATGTTTAAAAAAAACCTATTGTTTTCATCATGACAATCCTTGTACTAAACTGAAGTGATTGTGATAACAAGTTTACACCTTGTATTCATAGTTTGTATGTCATTTACAGGTGATTTAGGTCATGTAACATCTGTGACCAACCCAACCGTGGAGGATGGAGACTGTCACTACCTCCCAAAAGAAATCCTCAGTGAGAACTTTGATCACTTGTCCAAATGTGATGTATTTTCTTTGGGTCTCACCATGTATGAAGCAGGAGGCGGACACAATCTGCCCCGCAATGGTCCACAGTGGCATAGTATCCGTGAGGGTCAACTACCAAGTCTACCACACTTGTCTTCAGAGCTTAACCAACTCCTCAAGGTAGTTTAATTTTTCATATTTTGTAAAGATTTGTTAAGCATAATAGATTATAGCTCTTTTTATAATCTAAACAAAATCAGATTCTGTGTAAATTAAAACAACTTTTTAAATATGAAACAAAATTATATATATTTATATTGAGACATGAAAGGTGAAATCTTGCAAGGTAGTCACTAAAACAAAATTGTAAAACAAGTTTGTAGACAAGATCTGGAGTGAGAATGCAGATTGAGTTTAGAAATGAATAAATAGTTGAAAGTAAAGTCTTGCATCAAACTACAACAGAAGACTTGTTTTACAGAGCATGGTGGACCCTGATCCTGTAAAGCGCCCTAGTGCAGCAGCTGTAGCCTCAAGTCCAATCCTGTGTCCGCAAGCCACTAAGTCACGTGCACAACTTCGACGTGAACTCAATGAAGAACGCTTCAAAAATCAGATGTTGTCTAGGTAAGCATAATCTTCAGTGGCAAGGCATACTAGATAATTATCTTTCAATTTTATACAAGAATGTGTTAAAATTTTTGGAGAAATAGCATGATTTCAATTTTTTTTTTTTTTGCATAATTTTAAATATATATCTGTTATGTTTCAGGAAACTTGTTGAAGCCACACAGTGTCTAACCAGAATCACACCTGCAAGTTTCTCCTCTAATGTAAACAGGAAGAGTCGAATGGTTGGAAACAAGATGAAAAGGAGTATGAGTCTTTCTGCATTCTGATCAGAAAAGAAAAAAAGTGCAAAAAATACTGTGTAGTTATCCTGCATGGAGACTTTAATATATACTGTGTACATACGAATAATTCTGTACAGCTGCCCTGGTCGGGAAGGAACTCTTATAGTGCACTCAATAATGTATGGAATCTAATGACTGAAGCAGGTCTTCTGTTTGTGATATATGTGATGATAAACTCAAGAAGTGTAACTTCTGTACCATTGTGATATGACTTTCAGGCTTGGAGAGAAGGCAGGAAGATTGCCGAGTGGATGCAGGGATGGGGGTGGGGGCAGTTTGATGCATGTTTGTGCATTTTCCCAATTTAGACAAATTCTGTAGAATCTTTTTCTATTCTGCAATTTTCAGCAATGAATGATACACTGTTTTATCTTAATTCTGTGTTTTGAATGTTTCTTTTTTTCTGCAATCTCTCATTTTTTAAAAAAAATTATTGATTCATTGTGTTTGGCCAAGCATAAAAATAACTTTCCTGCTGGAATATATCTATGGTACATTTTTATAGCATCAATCATAGTTTTTGGCTGTTATTTCTCAAAAGAAGTGGAAAACATTCATTTGCCATAACATGGAATTATAGATTTTCCTTTAAGGATATATATTTTGCCTGGCCTTGCACTCTATTTGTTAAAATTATTTCACTCATATCATGCTTGCACTTAACTTGTTGCCTTTCCTGAAATATATTTGTATTACAAGCAAGTTGATTGAACATTATTTGTTCTATGAAACTATTCACATTTTTATCATTAAATGATGTTCATCAAAATTATTAGAATGTGAAATTAGCCTAATCTTGGAATGGAAATATTACTTTGGCATCAGCATGTGTGGTTGTCATATTTGATGCACATTCATAGGGTGAAGATGATCATACTTGACAATTCAAAATTTATTAATGATGAACTTTGTGTTATTGAACAGAAAACATATTTGTATTTACCATCTGTAACAAGATTAATCAAAATTACTTTCATTCAAACAACTTTTTGAATTTGGTAAAATATTTTTTGAAGGGGAAGAGGGGTGTGTGTGCAAATTTTTAAAGTCAAATTAAGAAATATAGATAACTATTTGGACTCAAAAATAAATCTGTAGATTGCTGAATTCTTTGACAGGTGTATAGTACACTTTATTTGATGTCCTAAACAATTTCTATGATATCATTGCATGTGTAAATTTATACATGTACAGAGTAGAGTTTTTCACATGTAGTCTTTTTATAGCTTCACATCTCTAATAAAACTGTAAAATAATCCTTCAATGAAGAAATGTTTAAATAAACTTTCCTTCCTTTTTTTTTTTTAAAGCATGTCTGATTTATCTGTTTCATGTTTGTAATCAGTAACCTCAATCACCAAAACCATATATATGTACTTGTTAGGAAATCAATTTCAACAGCTTGGCTTGTGGAGAAAAAAGGAAAATTGTTTTGTAAATATTTACATTTTGAGTATTATTATTGATCCTCCTATAAATTTTTAGTATTTAGTACATAAATTATAATATTATTGCTGTACATTAATTTTGTAATTGTTATCATGTAATAGTATTATTTGACTTCATATCTGTATCAAAGGAAACATTTTTTCCTCCACAAGCAAAGTTGTTTCTAAGTTGTTATTTAGTTTCTATGGACTGGAGCAGTCATTTCTGTCAACATTATCAAGGTGCTGAATGTAATTTTTACAAAATAAAATTTTAATCCAATTTAATCAAATGATGTGTCTTTTATTGAAAACAGAATTTGTTGTATGATGGAACGTCATTACACTCCGTGACTGACAGAAGGTGTAATCTTAACTCATCACTGTTAAAATGTGGTATTTTCTCTTGCACGTTTTCAGCTTGTTTGGTCTGCATGGCCAAATGAGCTTATGATAAGTTGCTGCATCCCTCATCTGTATCTCAGGTGAGATGACCCTGAAAAAGTTTATGAAAAGAAATGGCTTTGTACTATATTCAAGGTCAGAGGTCAAATTTGTCAAACTTGCAACAACCTCTTAATAACTAAAAGACCTAAAATAACATCTAATAATATTTAGCTGGCTGGTTCCTTTGATGAAACCGAACAAAGGTTGCAAAAAAGAAATAACCTACACCTTTACCCGAGGCCATAGGGGTCAATTTTATTAAAACATTCACACAATTTCTTGATTAGCCTAGAATCATTATTTGGCTTGTTTCTGTGTTGAAATGTCAAAATGTGGAAAAACAAATCTCTTTGAACCATATTCAAGATCAGAGGAGTTAAATCTGTTAAAATTATCAAAAAAATTCATATTTACCAAGACTGTCAAAGATGTGAAATGATAAAAGTAATTCAGAAAAGCATTGAATACCAGGTGAGAAATGCAGGGTCATTGGTATGCAGGACCATGAAATTATATACCTGAATAAATATCAAAGGAAGTTCTTATTCACGAGACAGAAAAATCTCACTACTTATTTTTATGCGTCTCTAACCTTGGAAAGTATATCAACACTTCTTATGGGTTCTGCATTCCCTTGTTTTTTAGCAATCCATAATGCCTGTGTGAATTTCATCTAGACTTGGGTCTGGAATATCGCATGGGGAAGGCAATCATTTAAAAAATCAGGTTTGTTGAACTTCAAGGGACAGAGGATTACAGGGTGGGAACCATACACTAGAGAAAATTTCCTTTGGTCTAGAACGCATCAGTGGGGGAAGAGCAATAATTTCCAAGATAAATCAGGAAGATTTTTTCTCTGGATAGTTGACCATTTCTGAGTGATGTTATGTTATCAACCAATAGTTTTGGCTCATAAACATCTTGTTATGCAGCATTACCAAAATCATAAATGGGAAAGAAAAAGCATGTTGGAAATTTATCTTCGTCATGTGCTGACATTCTGTTACAATGTTTGCATCTTAAAGAGATTTTATTAGCCCTCTACTGAGGAAAAATCTATCTTGATTACTTACAGGCAACACATTTTATCAAATAAGTATTGTAATCAAATTTGCATATGACTGATTTACCATCAAAACTTGATCTTTGTATCTTTCCTTTCACATCTAAGTTAACTTTTAAAATATTTTTTTGTGCTTTTGCTTCTTTCTTGCTGTTTGTGTGTGTGTGGTGTTTTTTGTTTTTGTTTTTTTTTCATTTTCATTTTGTAACCTGACATAAAAAGCACAAGACTTGCACATCTCTTCAAAACAAATTTTTATTGTCTCAAATAATAACTGATTAATCTATGGCGTTACATAAAATATAGCTATTTGATTAAAACAGAAAACTCTCTGTTACTGCAGAAATATATATACTAAGATTTACAGTGTGAGATAACTGAACTGCTATTGAATGTGTGTGACCAGGATTCTTATTCTAGGTACCAGGTTACCTCCCTTGATGGTACAGTAACAAAGGCATTTTTGTTCAGCTTGAGGTTGAGTGTGTACTATAGAATGGGTCATTGTATTAGGAGATCTTGGAAATACTAAACATTAATGCATGCTGTGAAAGTTGTTCTTCATACTTGAATGGAAATATCTGGTAACTACAAACTTAAATGAAATTTTCACATGACGTGTATTACATGGAGTATCAAACAAATTGAAAATGATGAACACAACTCTGAACAGTTGAAGATCAAATATACATATTTTGGTAAAGGGAGGTAATTTGGCAAGGTAAATTTACGATGTACGTTAGTATTTTTCATCAAATTCATAGCACATGGCTAAACCAACCAGTATACTTAAAAGATACCAGTATGTTACATTATTGCACACAGTAACTTAATAATACAAACTGAAAAGCTATTGCATATATTACATCTACAGCATTTCTCATTAACACCATTAAATTCTCAAACTGGTTTACATTCTCTGTGTAATACTATACACAGCAATCAATCACAGCACTGTCACATGACTATCATGTGGCAAAAATCATACATAACATCTATTTATTAAGAAAACACAATTATTGAATACATGTATGCATAAATTAATATATTTTTTGCAAAGTATCACAGTATTGATGAAAAAACATACAATGTGAATCACCAAATAACTTTCAAAACATGCTATTACCAAATATTCTAATCATAGAAGCTTCTTTTTTAAATATATGATATGTTGAATTGCAAGTACATAGCTATGACAGGAAAAGTATATAAACGATTTTCTTCTGATTCATTAAGCATGTTTATCTGTAATTAGATATGTTAAAATGGAATTCGAGGACGCTACGTTTTAGGACAAAAGTGTTTAAGCACACTGCTAGATGATAAGATGAGTGATAAAATAGGACAGGAAATAGTAAGAACACATTTAACTATAATACATAACTAATACATGAATATCATTTATTGTTTTGTACAATACTTATTTAGATTTCTTTTTGCAATTGCACTTCAAAGAATTCGAGAGGAATGAGTCATAAACAGACAGTGGATTTTAAAAACAAAACAAAAATCACAGACATGTTAAAGTTTTGTTCAGAATAACACTACAAGTTCAATATAACATTTTCATAATGTATCTTTGAAATGAATCTAATGTGTCTGTTTTAAGATGAATCTAAAATAAATTTTTACATTATTTCAAAATCAAGGAAATAGTTTTTCTCTAGATAATCAAAATGATGTTATGTGTTCAAACAAACCTGAACAGGAAAAGATTGGCTGGTTGCCCTGATCAAGGGGAAATAACTCAGTATTTGTCCAAGTTAGATAAAGAAGAACTTGAAAAGCTAAATAAAAAAATATTTATTTTGCTGTATGGCTTGCTGAGACCAATCTTCTTTCTAAGAACCTAGAAACTGATCCATTTGAAATGGGAACAAACCTCCAAATGGCCTTACCAGTTAGAGGTATGGCAAAATAGGGAAGTCACAATTTTCTGTCACATGTCATTCTAATTTTCAAATGAGCTAAAATTACACAGACATATTCTAACGTATCTCCCACATCCAAAAAATACTATGAAATTCACACATTAATCAATTCCTCCAAAGACATTTCTCATCAAACAGTTCATAGTAAATTACCTGAATAAGAACAAATAAATAAGCCATTTTAATTCTTTCATGAAAATCCTTGATTCATAATGAAAGCGATATTGTCACAAACTATTTTATATTACTGATCCAATTAAAAACTAAAACACTGGTAACACTATCAAGATGGATGAACTACATAAACACTAAAAAAATGACTTTCTGACGCAAATAAGCAACTGTAAATTACCTTATGTATAAATACCAAAACATAACAAATATGATGTTTCTAACTTAGAATAAGAACAGGCATCAGAGAGGTGGGTGGTCCATGTGTCTGTAATCAGGAAACACCTGGATGGCTTGACCTATTGGCAGGAAGGACATGATAATGCTACACAGTGCCATGAAGAAGACAAGACCTGCTAGTGTCATCCTCAACCGCTTGCCTGCAATCTCCCACTCTGGCACCATATCCCATATTTTCTCCATTACAACCTCCTTGAATGCCCTACAAAATAAAATTATGTTACAGTCAATGTAAAACTGAGACTGATCATCTATTTATAAATCAGTATGTCTCGGTGTAATGTACCATGTATCTAGTTTTATGTGTGAATCTATTTTGATAACAAAAGTCATGAAACTCCAAATTGTAATATATGCCCATATCTACTGTCTGTCTGAGGTTGCAAAAATTGCGAACAGTCAAACTTGGAATAATTTTGCAAAGACTACATGTTACAAAAAACAAAAAGTTAATGTAAAGTATTACATAATCATGCAAACTTGAATGTTTAGATTTACAGAACTTCATTCCAGAATCAATTGCCTAAGCACTGCAGGCAGCAGCATTACTCATTGAGTTAAATAAATTGTAAATTTTCAGATAATGAGTCATAAGTAAACAGGAAACACTGTATAATGCTTTTAGATGTGTCCTGACCTTTCCTCTTCCTCAGGTGGACTGTCATAGTTATCCATGAGATCCTCCAGATTCTGGTTGATAGAGTTCTGGTGTTCTCGTAAGGACGAAAGTTCGCGCCCCATCTGAGCTTTGTAGCCTTGCTGAAATCTGTAATATACAAAGCCGAGGTATTTCAATCATTTTAAATTTCAAAGCTCATGCAATTTTATCACAGAGACTAAAGGGATATGATGTAGAACAATTTTTGTCCTTTCCACGTCAAAGAGATGATTACATTCAGCAAAGCTAATGAATAATGACAGTTACTAAATCTGGCCATGATTTCTGAAAGCTTTTTAAACTGAAATCATTCGATTGATAAGATATTGATTGCAAACAAAATTGGGCCATGACTTCCAAAAATATTGATCCAATTTATTGAAACTTTCACTATAACTTAAGCTCTATTAAAGCTTTCTTATATGAAATATACATAGTTTCATATGTAAAAAATCCTGGTATGTCATGTTGTTCATGGTATTAAAAAAATTGAAAACGAATACTAACCCTTTCTGGAACGCTTCCTCTTCCTTTGAATTCTGTTTACTTGGGGATTTGTCTGAATTCTCTTTGCTTGAAATGAGAATGAATGGTGAAATGATGAATGGATTATCAATCATTTCCTGAGAAAAAGAGTGTATTGAATCTTTCTCCGAGCCAAACATAATCTTTGAAGAATTCAGAACAATTCAAAAGAATCCTGGTGGTTTCCTATTACATATTCTGACATGATATACAAGGTAGAAAATATACTCAAAGTTGTAAATGATTTTCCTTTACCAGTTTCCAGATCTGTGACCACAAAGTGAAAAGCTTCCAAGACAATGAAAATTTGGCATAATAATCTGTCTCCTTATTTTACTTAAAGAAAAGTGAAAAAAAAATTTACATTCTAATCTTACACCAATGGTGATTGACTCAAATGTTTCGCTATATTTTGTACAAGAGTAGATCCTTTTTCAATTAGCCCTCTTTTTCAACTACTATACACATAAATTAAAATTTTTTGAATATATTGCAATGATAAGTGAAATAGTCCAGCTGCTAACTCAAAATACTAACCTCTCGGTTGAGTTCTCTCTTGATTTAGGAGGTGTGCCACTGACAGAGGCTTGTTTCCCCAGGGTGGCAGAGCCTCTTCGGAAAGTGTCTGTAACAGCATTTTTCATGGCCATAGATGCCACAGCACACTGGAAGCGCGATTTAGCATCCTGTATATCAAATAACAACTGTGTGTATGACATCATCGACTAGGATAATGGAAACTTTAAGTTACATTATTTTAACATAAAAAGTTTCTTTTAAATATGCAAGTCCACTACAGGAAAATTTATCAAAAGTTCTGACATTTGATATGAAAGGGAATTTTTATCAATCATATAGTGTAAAGCCTTTCACATAAAACATTCAATGGTTCAAGAAAATAAACTGGGGGAATTCCTACAAAGGACATATGGATTTTGCATTGTCAATAACGCAGTCATAGACCTTGGTTCATAAGTGTGGTTGAATTGTTTTGTCTTTGTGACTCTTCATATCAAATAAGAGTGGCATCACCGACAAATATCAGTATTCTGGCCCCACTTGTATAAAACATCTCAACTTGAGATTTCCTCAGCTTATATCTCCTTGAAAATATCTTGTATGAAAATTCCTCAAGGAACTTCAGGACATCCTAGCCGATGACTTCCTCCTGTTCCTTGAGAAAATTTTATACAAGCCGTTTTTGAGGAGATATCAGCTGAGGAAAATCTCGACTTGAGGAAATCTCAAGTTGAGATGTTTTATACAAGTGGGGCCAGATGACATTAATATTGTAGGAAGTAAAGAACTCTCCTTACAAGCTCATACTGTATGGCATGGCAGCTTAGACATAATAATAATAATGATAATAATAAACATTCTTTATTGAGGATAAAACATGTTTAGCCAAAGACTAATCTACCACATTGTCCTCTAAAAATCTTAGACCTGTTGTATGAGGGCCATGTAGCAAATATGATTGTCACATGACAACAAAGCATTGTAGAAAAATTTCCCAGCACAGCATAAGATTTGTTTTCAAAAACCTTTCCTTTTTTCCTCACTACAATCACACCTAATGTGTTTTTAAGTTTTCAAATAGACTTTTCCAAACACTGCAGGTAGTTACTTTTGTCAAAGCCTTGAAAAAATTCTATAAAAGTAAATGATATATGTATAGAGTATGTAAAGGGGCTTACCAATAACTGAATATAATGTATACAACAAAAAAATTTGTGACTAAATTTCCTGAATCGCAATACACCAACCACATGCCCTTTTTTTTTAAACTTCATTTTACAGATATACAACCAGAGACACACAACTAGCTATGGTTGCTAAATATATATATAGATCTACCAGAAAAAAAATCACTGCAACACTATCTTATCTAAACTCATTTCATACTGACTAACTAAACCAAGGGAATCTCATTCACCAGTTTTTTCTTCCATGGGAAAGGATACATTAAAAATCTTACTGATAGATTGGGAAAATACTTTTCACGTTTTACATTTAACTTTAAAATTTTTGAGATTTCACAAGACAACAGCATCTCAAAATCTCAAAACTTTTACTCACATTTGCTAGCATTGAATAGAAACAGAATATTGCAGTTCCTCTTTAAACCTTTCTTCTTCCAACTTTTTTTTGGAGAGTAAAGCCACTTGAGATTATTAGCAAGACTGATCCCAGTCTCATCTCGTTTGAACAAACCAATTAATTGCTGAGAAACTCCAAAGTGTAACATATAGGACTTTTTTCTTTTACCATTCTTGGCAGAGACCCCCTCCCTCCCCTCAACCTAGTTATTTATGGAATACAAAATTTAAACTTATTGCCTAAATACACAACTTAATACCTTTCTATGAACATATGAAAACATATGAATATGTGAGGAAATTGTTTTTAAAGAAGTTAAGTGCTTTTTAAGTTGATCTGTCCATGCAATTTAAAGGTCACTGAAGTCAATTAAAGGTGAAAAGGTCATCTAAGATTGATAAAAAAAGGCCAATTAAAGGTTAAAAGGTCATAAAAGATCATTAATTGTAACAGGTCTTCAAAGGTCAATTAATGGTAAAAGGTCATCAAATGGCACTTAAACATGTAGGTACACAATTTCATGCAATTTAATTAGAACTTTAGCAGTAGGTAAAGATAATCAATCATGTGATCTTATTATCACTCTGACACAACATAACAGATTTCCCGGTGAGGATATAAAAAAGGGTTACAACAAGTACACATCTAGAAAATTTCACACACATCAAACAGTTTATGGAATTGAGCAATTCCGTATAATTAAAACTTACCTGTAATAGGGGTTGACCAGTTTATTTGTATCTACATTTGAAGAATATATCTGAGCCATCAGCTTTTTAATATGTTGTTGGTGAATTTGATGACTGATCATGCATGCAGCATTCTGATTTCAAGTAACTTTCCTTTCCAGTAAAACATGCTATGCTATACGAGCCATTCGAGATACAAATCATGCTTTATTTCATTTTTGAAACATACTGACACATTGCATTCATGCACACTATGTGCTGCAATGTGTATTAGCGAGTGACCATTGGTCAATAAAAATTGAGAGTGACTATCAGTCACTTGGCAACTGACCGGGATAGATGGCTGTATATGACATGCTCACCTCTGAGTCTGGCGAGTCTTTCCTTGGCCAAGTTGGTTGCTTGCATTCCAGAGACATAGTAGAAGCATCCTATCGAGACATGCCAAGATTGTATGTATATTACTACAGCTAGCCTATCAGAGAGCTAACCAAAGCTGAGAGTTGTGTCTCCTAAATCTCAGGGATATGGCCATATACATATCTGGATATGGAGAATATTCATCACAACAACATTATATCAACATTATAGGGATGGATTTTAAAAACATACTGATCAATATCAATTGTAGGTATTTCAGAATAATTTAGCACTATAGTGTTTAGTAGGGAAAAGTATTAAGGCTTCATCAAACCCAGTTAAAATCTGAAGTATTCCATATCAGTAGCATTAACTACCAAGTGACCTTGACATTTGAACTTGAGGAAAGTTATACAGACCTTATTCACATGGTAAGTTTGATTTTTTTGGAATTTGAGATTTAACTTAGGTTAAAAAACAGGATTATCTAAATTGGCATATGAAGAACGCAGTGACACTAAACAATAAATCATATTCATTACTTTGTTAGAAGATATTAACCTAATCACCTTGTGACTTTGACTTTTGACCTTCAACAATTTCAGCCTTTTCATTTCTATCTAGTTCCATTTTCAAAACATGAAACTCTACAAGTACAAATTTAGCAAATGTACTTCTAAATCCTCAACAGAACGCAAAGTGACAAATTAAAAAGTAGCAGAAAATTTAGGGCACATCTGCATAAAAAACAAAGCATGGATATACTAATCCATGTTCAAAGAGTTACTGTGTACAAGTAGAAAGTACAAGTTACCTTAATAGTTATTTTGTCCCTTTTGTCCCCCTTTTGTCTTGAAAATAATTTAACTCATCTTTGCTTCCTTTTGTACCTGCTTTAGTTGGCCACTGCTGATAAGCTTAGGTGCAATTACTGGTGAAACAAGACTATTTGGTATATGTTGGATTGTCAAGTTTTGACCAATCACAGACAGGGAGACAACAACTAAAACAGTTTTGGCACAGAAAGAGGTCAAAGTTCACAGAAATATATAATCACAAGAAATATATATGTTTTGCTTGTATATATATTCTATAAAAAAAACCCCAGTAGAATAAATATATAATGTTTTTATAGATATGAACATATGATGTTTGATAATGAAATTTTTCTGGAACTTCTAAAAAGAAATCTACTGAATTAAGATGACGATACATGCTAAAGCTGCTGCATAACAATGCTATAGAAAATGAACCAATAAATATTTTGTAAACCGTGACCCCTTTAAAATAATTAGTGAAATTTCAAAGAAACTACATATATTGTGTCATTTAAAATTGAAATAATCAGTAAAAAATTTATTACAAGAACAAAAGCTTAATATTTTCAAAAATGTTACAGAATTGTTAGACTGTTCATAACTCTGTGCGTGTGTGAAGAGTTACAAAACACAGCAAAACGTGAAAGTGTTACAGAACCAAGCCTTACTTTTGCTGCCCACATTTGTTTATCACCCATTGTGGAACAACAAGAGCTAGGTATGATCTGAGAGGTTACAATATCAAATACAATAAACTAATTATATCATGGAATCTATTGGTCAAGACCTAATTGCAAAATTTGCTTCCAGTTAAAGCCAGATCTGTCATTACCTAAATGTCTTGAATTTTTTTTTGGACAGAAGTTTTTCCTGTAATTGAGAGAGAATGAAGTTGCCAGATTCCATAGTAATCCATATAAGTAGGAAAGGGATGCACAATTCCATCTGCCAGAAAAATGTGGGTAGAAAATTTGTATATTGGGCTAATGAAAATGTTTTGATACTTAATTTAGGTTTTGGGTGATATGATTTTGCCAGTATGAAATTGTACATCCCAGTATAAAAGATAGAACACTTTATTATGAGACTTGTGTGAATATTTTTGAATTGGAAATACTGAAAGAAAATACCATCGAAGAGGAGTGGGTGAAAGACGGTACACCTGTCCCTCCCAGAGCTCGAGGAATGGCAACCTCACTGACACGCCGGCCCTTTGTCTGAAAAATGTTAAACATTGAGATGCCATTGGATTTTGGAAACATGGATAATATTGTAAAGAAAATCATTTTTCAACCTAGGAAGAATGGTATTCCCAGTATAATATGAATTTAATTACCATATAGACGTATTCCTGAAATAACTTCCCTGATATGAAGCTTATAACATAAGCCAACTAAGAAGGAAGGTAATCAATAAATGACATTTGTATTCCTTATGCTGTAGCCCAACAGGTATACCTGAGAACTTCAACTAGGCTATTTAATTGACAAGATATTTTCTTCTTGTTTTTCTCTTTTTTCTTTTCAAAAGTCAATGGAGTACAGACTTTTTTTCTTTGAGAAATTCAGGAATTATTCTGCTTACAACATGATGTGAAGATTAAAAACTTTAATTTTCTGCATTTTAATTATTGATCATTCCATTACAAATCAAGCAATGTGAATAAAGCCTACGGTAAAATTATGGAAATAGTTTAATACAAACAAAACTTATCAAGATATTTACAGTAATCCTGACCTGTAATTCACTGGAGATCATTGAACCTCTATATGTGATACTTACACGTGATTGGAAGCCTTGACCTTGCTGGGACAGGGACAAAGATCTTTTACTGATGTGTGGAAAATCACCTACAAAATCATCAACACAAGAATTAGTCTAAACTTCACTAAACTAAACTTTATTTTTTTGAAAATTACAATTGAAAATGTATATATATGAAAAAAAATATATAAATATGCAAAATAGTTATAACTGTCAAGGCTGAAAATATGTGGTCATATGGAAATGACAAGTTTCTGTTTCTCCATACAAATCAATTTATAAGACAAATGAATACAACATGATGCAACTATATTGATTTCAAATGATATTTTTACAAGTAACCTACCCATCTCTAAACCAGCACTTCCAAAGGGTCGACTGTCTTGTAAAAGTTTTCTGAAACAAAAGAGACAGACTGTTTCAAAAATTTCAGCTAAGAAAGAGAATTTGTCACTGATGCCCAAGCTTTGGTTTGAAAACATCACCTTCAAATGAAGAGATGAAACAATGTCAACACAGAAGGCAAGAAGAAGCAAAATTTCATATCCTTAACAGAATATTAGATAGGAACTTTCAAATGACTTAAGAAAATGACTACAAGTACAGAGGTGTTGTCCTTACCTAGCTTCTTCCAATTCAGAGTTGACACGTTCATGCACCATTCGTATGGTGTCCACATGTGTAATCATAATCTCTATTGCCTTACTCATCCTCTTTTCCTACAAAATCATCAAAACAGATATATTACTTTCATGAATCCCAAAAATGAAAATCAATGCCCTCACACCTGTTGTTACCTTCAACAGTTTAAGATAACTGGTCTGAAAAAAACTGAACTTTGTGATTTGGCCTATCTGTTTCCATGGTAACAGAAAAAGTATTTAAATGAAGAACTTCCACATAGCAAAAGCTAGCTTAATAAGAGTAAAATGTTTGAGCAATTATCTTGAATGGTTTAGAGCACTGGACCAGAAAAACTGAAATTTGTGATGAGGGATATCTGTTTCTATGGTAACAGAAATAAAAATTTTAACTGGGGCACTAACCAAATATAAACAGAAAGTTTTGTGGAGTTGAGTGGAATGGTTTCGAAGTTGTAGCCCAGAAATGAAAGTTAATACTAATTTTGCGTTTTTTACTTTGTTTCCATGGTAACAGTAAAAATATTTAAAACCAAATGTCGTCAAAAGCAAAAGGCACAACAAGGGCTCTAACTCAACATATCCATTAAGTTTTGTGAAGATATGTTGAACAGTTTTGAAGTTAGACTCTAGAAAAGCCTTCGGGTAAACACACACATGCACAGATGGAGAGAGCCCAAATTATTTCCCTAACATGTTTCGCTGGGGATAATTACAATTCCTGTTACTTTATCAAAACTTCTCATGCCCTAAGGTGTCAACAAAACAAGACATCTGGTGCCAAAGTCTTTCATCACTATAAAATGCACATGGTGACCTTGAGAATGAAGTTTTCATAGGCATACATACTAGGTAGTATAGAGATTTTCTTTTTTAGCAATTTTCACTCTGAATGTATTGCATTAAAATAGGATTGTGCTTAATGCAGTTGTTTCTGAATCTGGTTTATATAGCAATTATTTTGGCTGCACAAATTTATCAAAGGATTATTTGCCAAAAAGTGTTAATGGACTAAAATTTGACTATGAGAAGTAAAGTATATCTTAAGAATATGGAAAACTTCAAGTTTAAAAGAAAAAAAATTGTAGACAATAATATGACATAGAACATTAATAACGAACTGTGTATATATTATATTCAGTTATAAGATTGATAGTTTTGTTGCAGACATGCACATTCATGTTGAACACTTATGTCTGTAGGTTTTGTACTATCAGTGATTAATGACAAGGTTTTAAGATAGGAGATCTGACAAATGATAAAGAGAGTTGAGTAACATGACCAGGGCCGAACACTAAACAGAAGCTACTGACAAAGGAGATCCATGATTCATAGATCATATTTCCATGTAGAATATTTGGAAATCTACATATCTTATTCACTTATATTCAAATTGTATGAATATGAATAAGATAATTAAAGAAACAAAAAACATAAAGAAGAAATCCGACAGGAACCAGTGAACCACCCATTAATTGACCTTTAGTAATTCTATGTAAGTTTGATCTTTCATCTCCTTTTTTATTGACCATCTGTCAATTGAGGTTATTTGATAGCATATAAGTAAAGTACTAAACATTCCATGTGAGTTGAGATTAACACTTTTTTAATACTTTTTCTGTCATAGGTCATTGCCAACTTTTAGGCAAATGTCACTTTTATTTTATTTAAAATCTGGATCTGAAACAACCCACCATTTGCCATACCTACCTGTTGTACAGCCCCAAACACCTCTGCCCGGCTTGACACCCTTGCTGCAGCTTGTTCGAGGATATCTAGGTGTGCCTGTATCTTCCGGAGGACGTCTCGTACCTGTGTATCTGTACATAACTGGTTCAGGGTCTGTAAGACAAGAAATATCCTTTGGTAAAATTGAAGTTCTGTAGAACAAAAGGTAAACTTGGTAAAAAGTAAGTTCATCCATATGACAAGCAGAAATATTGGTTAACAGGAAGCTCTGTAGGACAAGCAGAAACATGGATATTTAAAGAGTTCTGTAGGGCATGAAGAAACCTTGTTAAAAATAAGTACTGTTGGGTAAGCAGAAACCTCAGTGAGTTCTTCTATATGACAAGCATAGGTGTTGGTTAAACTTTGGTTATATAGGCAGTTGTGTAAGACAAGTAGAAACCTTCCATAAAAAGGAAGCTCTTTTGTATGGCAAGCAGAAGTGTTGGGCAAAGAGAGATTTTCATAGGACAAGCAGAAGTGTGGACAAGAAGTAATCATGGTAAATAGGTTGTTCTGTAGGACAAGTAGAAATCTTGCTAAATAAAAAATCCTGTAGGATAGGAAGAAACCTTGGAAAGAGGGACATTCTTCTGTATGACAAGAAGAAGTTTTGGGGAAAGAGGAAATTCTTATGTATGACAAGCAGAAGTAAAGGGTAAAATGGAAGGTCTTCTGTAGGACAAGAAGAAATCTTGGTAAATAAGGTCTGTAGGATAAGATGAAACCTTGGTAAATAGGAAGGTCTGTAGCACAAGTGAAACCTTGGTAGTAAGTTCTTACTTGGTAACAAATTGGTATTTCTCAAAATATGTTAATGTCTTATGATTAATCTCTAAACAATTCAATTTGTAACTGTAATTTGTGACATAATTCATTATTTGACTTGTAAATGGTGTCAGAACACTTTAGACAGATGTAAACAACTGAAGTGATTGATCACCCGAAGCCTGAACATATACGTACATGAGTTTCATTGTTCATTAATACAAACGTAAATAGTTTGCAAAAATTTAATTAAGTATTAAATACATTTTAACAGAATTAATGTTATTTGAATAAGGAAATCATATAATGACATATAGTCAAATTCAATTTTACAAAATTCATTCTACATAACCGATTGAATAATTGTTATCCTACCTCCAGATTGTCCTTCAGTCCTTTTAGTTCTGTGTCAACATTCTGTTCAGCAATGTCTCGGGACCTTTCTTGGATTTCAAGACGCTTTTCCAATGTTAGCTTGTCAGTTTTGAATGCAAGAGACAAACTGGTGAATTTTTTCTGAAGAGAAATGGAACAAAAGCATTTTTGAAAGAACAATCCAATTTTAAGACCAAAAGAAATGAAAAAAATGAAAAACCATTTAGCATGTCCAACTTTTTTGATATTGAAAGTAGGTCAAGGTCATAAGAGTAAAATTCAATTTAATTTAGCAACATTTTTATGTACTTTTATTTAGCTAAAGTAGATGACAGTTTTCGTGCCAACTGCTTTTCGTTTTCTATCTGCAGTTAGAGCTTCATTTGGCCTAATGTTAAGACTGGAAGGTATAACAGCCTTCATCTGGAACAGTAATTATAGTCTGGCACATCTGTGTTTACCAGTACATTGTTCCACCAGATGCTATTAGTATATATATATATATATATATATATATAAGAAATTTACCTGCCATACCATCACTAATAGACAATAAATTTGCATGTAACCCAGAAGCCCTCAATCATGCACAGATATTTATACCAGATCCCTAAACAAGATTTCCATAAATAGGAATGGGACATCTCTCATGACTTTTGATCATTTGTTTCACTTACAAATGAAATTGCAAAGTACCTATGAATTTAATTTTTTTTCAGAACCCTGCCCTGTCCCGAGGAAAAAGCCCAATAACTTGCAAGATCGTGTGAACAATCCCTTTGGTATAATGTCAATAAATAAAAAAAAAAAAAAATATGAAAACATAAATCAGATGCCAATTCTGAACCCAAATAGTGTAGATAGAAAGGAATTGAAGATAGTCATTTTTGCCTACAATGAGTCGAATCTATGGGGAATCTGCCCTAAAAACCAGTTGAAGTTACAGTGAGAAAAGCAGCAATGCCACAAGGAAGAAAACTTAACATGACCCTGAGAGTAGCCAAATGGATTTGCTAAAACAAACTATGTTTTAATCAATACAGTCACACCTGAAACATTATTCAGGTCTAGCATTTAAAGATTTATTTGAGAAAAATATCTTGGAAAACTAATTCACTTTTCTCATTGCATGCCTAAACAGATGTCAAACTATTTACCTGCCTCTCTGATTTCATTTACATTGATAAGACAATTTGGCAAATTCCTGTACCCACCAAATATCAAATTACATGCCAAGAACGCATTGCAATGAAGCCAAGCTCAAACCTTTGATTAGGTCAACTGTTAAAATGTAGGTCACACTGACCTACTGTCCAATAAATGACACATTGTCTTACCAAGGTTGACCAATACTCCAAGTATGAAGTGCTAGTGACAACTAGTGCAGGAGATAGAGCCAAAACAAAATTTGTCCTTGATGTTGGTTAAAGGTAAAAATGAAGGTCAGACTGACCTACTTTGATATATGACATACTGTCTCACAAAAGCAAACCCATTACCCACAACCCCATGTGTAAATTCCAGTGACAAGTAGTGTAGAAAATAGAGCCAATACAAGATAGTGGAAGAATGGAAAGACGGACAGAGAGAACACAAAACTATAGCCCTATATTCCACCCCACCACCTCATAGTGGACTAAAATATAAACTGTAAAGCATCAGAACAGTCACAATTAATTCAAGTCAAAAGGTATTTCTGTCATGTCTTACATTCTACCTTGAAATACAGGCATGGGCAAATACGTTGTTAAGACTCTAGTACAGTAATTAGAATAATAATAATTTCCTGTATTATGGCATCCTGTTACATTGACAGATAGCACTTCTAGTTAAACATACTGAAAAGAAACAAGACTTGTACTTCATCTCTTGTGACTCGAGAGAACTGTTGATGGGTTTATATTAGCAAATGTGACAAACATCCAGTTATTTTAGCACAAGTATGTGTATTGATAGGATTTCTTTCCATTACTCTAGTTTTAGTTTTAATTCCAACAACTTGAGAAATGGAAGGTAACAGATTAAAGTCAGATTTCTAGTTCTATCTATCAACAACACAAAATTGTATTAACAACATTAGAACTACTGTAATGTGTAAATGTATTAGCACTGCATTTACTAATGGAGAAATGAAGCATTGATCCCAAAGTAACAGAGTGGAATATTTACACTCATGACAGAAATTTAATCTAGCAATTAGGTTAAAAAATAAGCAGTATTTTGTCATAGCATTCAGCGAGAAAATGAACTAACATATTAAAATCCCAATAAGCCCATCCACATAGCTGTTATATAAAATTATACACCGATATTGCTTATTTGTTCTATAATAAGCCCACCCCCTGTCACTTGAGTCAGACTTTCTTTGTTGGTCCCTGGGCTTATTGTCCTGTAATAAGCCCATGCACTCTCTTACATAGAAGTAATAATTCCCTCACCTGAGAATAATGCAGGATAAATAGTGTACATATAATGCAAATGTAAATTGTGTATACATTAACTGCTGTCCCATGCTAAGGCTTCTAACCAAGTTTGAATTAAAAGAAATTAAACTCAAGATTTGAATTTCCATATATAAAATCTTCCATCCAGGAACTGTATAACGTCTTTGAAATTCTAACAAAATTATTATGCTATGAAATACAGTAAATCATACCCCCTCTCCAAGGCAAAGTGTGAGACCCTGGGGTCATGAAATTTACAATTTTTATAAAGGACTGTAAGACACTTCCATCCCTGAAGAGAATTTGATTGTACATTATCTGGGTATTGAGAAGATTTTTGATATTTCAGTTAATTTGACCCATTTTTGGCACTGCCGATCAGCCCTTGGGGTCAGTCAAGGTCAATATGTGCATCTCACCAAACTGTCATCTTAAACTAATATTAATTCTAACCAGGCTTGGCCTATTTCCAATAGAAAATAAACAAATAATGTTCAAAAATGTAATTTTCCTATATAAACTATAGTAAACTTTACCCATTTCCCAGGGGAAATATAAGACCCTGGATCATGAAATTCACAATTTTGATGAAGCATCTGAAGGCCTTTCAATTTATGAAGTGTACTTGATTCTATCATTCCTGGGATTTGAGGAGAAGATTTTTGAAGTTTCAATCAATTTGACCCTTTTTGGCCCCACTCCTCAGGCCTCTAGGGGCAAGGGACCATGTAATTTACAATTTTGATGCACCTTTAGCAATGCCAGATTTTTGTAAAACCTCACTGAAATCGATTTACATGTCTTCTAGAAGAAATCGAAAATGTTAAAGTTTATGACGCATGACACCAGACAAAAGGGAATCGCAATAGGTCAGCCTAAGACTTTGTGTAAGGTGACCTGATAAAAACATACTGTTGATATGACAAATTTTTGAGTCCCTGACTTCTTTAAAGAACTAAGAAAACTTCACCTTAACCAAAACCATCTGATAAGTATACACGTTGACTGGTCTGCATACTCTGGAGTTATAGAGATTACACTTTTGTTTCTGTGTCAAGAAAGTATGTTTGCAGTTCACATACACATAGATATAGTACCAAGAAACCGCACTATTTGTGTTTGCATTACAGAAAGCAAGCACCAACTTTATGTGTTAATTTTCCAAGATGTTATATAGGCCAGTGAAGCCAAGCATATGCTTCTTCTGCTAATGAAAAGGTCATGATTTTCTTTCACAAATGCCCAATGCTCAAAATATAAGAAGCCATGGATGACAAAAAGCAGTATCTACAATCATTTAAAAGTCATAAACTAGTGGTCTTCAAGTACCTAAGTTGTTAAAATTGTAAAATTATTTTTGGCAATGAGGTTCTGACTTTAGGTGTAATCTGATCATCCAAATAGTGAAGGATGTGAAAGACTAATTTAAGTAACTCTGCTCAACATTTTTACATTTGGTAATCAAATCATATCTGGCACCTAACCACATCAAACTTACACAGAAAGACTAACGTAACAATTAGAAACTCACATTTAGCATCTCATATACTAGGTCCTATATGTGAAATTTTTTAAGATGGCTTAATAGGTTTCTGATGGAAATTAACAAAGAGTGAAATAAAATGATTTGTTACATGATTAAGTAAGTACTTTCTGTAAAAGACATCAGAGAAGTGGCAAATTCTTCTTTATAATCTAATTCTATTATAACATGACAGGAAATGTGCCACATTAAGAGACATAAAATGGTATTGGGGTACACATTTAGGGTTTCAGGGGAGGTTATGTGAACAAGATAACTGAAATCCTGTGATTTTCTGTATTTTATAATGTTGGGATTAACAAATAATTGGACATTCCCTATATAAAGCATGTTAATTTCCCCAAGTTTGACACGACAATTTAGAAAATTATGTGTCATTTGTCGCGGGACTTGTATGTTAGAAAAAATAATGTTATTAAAGAGATTATATGTTCATACTATCCTCTCCCCATCACAAAACAAAGTTGAAATGTGCTACTTAATAAAGGATTACTTTCTCCTCTACTCTGATGAAAAACAAAGGCTTTGGATATCTGACTGTTGCTGAAAACAATATTTTTCTCTAGGAAACTGAAAATAGTACAGAATAACATACTACATCTAAAATACAAGTAATAACAACAATAATAACTCAACCAGCCTGACCTCAAACAAACTTTGTCACATAAGCTTTCATAGGAACCAATGACAAGACACAGAGTGTAATGGATGGCAGACAGACTTTTAATGACAGACTTCCTGACCAAAACTTGGATGTTTAACTAATACTAGTGAAGAGATACACTTACCTCAATTTCCAGTTCATTGGCTTGCTCAGACCTGAAACACACAAAACAAAATAGAAGATAAGTCAATCATTGATTTTGATAAGAGAGCTATACTTAGCCAATACTACAAGACATGTCATCTTACCTTGTTACAGAGGCAGAATTTCACATACTTAGCCATTACCTGACCTTGAAATGAGAATGTTGGTTATAATTTGAAACCCCAGAAGCCAGATTTCCAATCAGTTCTTTCATTTACCAAGCTGATAGTTTGTGTTTCAACTTGATTGGAAACCTGACTTCAAGAGCTGCTCGTCTTCGCATTAACTTATTCATTTTAAAAGAGTATGTACATCCATCAATACGTATCCTGAAACTCCGTAGATAAAATACAACATACATATATACTTATTGGACAGTCTTACATAAGGTCAAGCCTCCTGAGAATCTGTAATCTGTTTTGTGTGATGGATCATTTCATCAAACAATTCAATATCAAAATTTTTGCAGTCAAACTTTGTCATACTGTCATATGGAGTTTGCATGTCTGTAGTAAACAAAGAGGAATGATGGAATTACCTTATTCATTGCAATAAACTTGTTGCCAAACATATTGCTTGATACTACATGTGAAACAATGTGTTATTTTGTAATTTTACTGGACAGTAATATATGTGGAAGGGCTTATTACCAGGCATGAACTTCTTGATAAAAAAATAGGTCAACAGGAAAAAAATAAAAGTGGGACAATAAACCACACATATATATAAAACAATTTGACAAAGTGCTCTTCATTTGGGTGTTTGTACCTCCACTTAACTACTGAATAATTTAATTAGGAACATTGAATCAAATGAAACTAAGGTTATTACATGGAGTTTTGAACATTCATTTTCTGCTTGTTAGGAAGGATTAAATTCAGAATAACTACAATATACATGATGGATAGCAAAATCGTATCAGAATCAAATGTCATGCACAGACATATAATAAGCTGGTGTAATTATCACCAGGTGTCAGCGGGAGACTTGGTCATGACATTTTATAAGCAGTGTGACCAAACAATAGCCGACACAAATCTATAAAGAAATTTGAAGAGGATATATGTCACTTATACCTGAAAGGTACAGTACAGATGTATTTAGTTTTTCATTGACTGTAAAACACCATCAAACCTTTTACGTTTTGAAATTAGACTACAGGTCTGATGTTTTAGAAATGACATTTACAGTAAAGAGTTATATTACGTAATTGTTACCTTTTGTCGGCCAGTAAATCCCACACAATGTTAGGTAAACAATGCTTAGCCATCCTCATCACATAAATGTTTTATCAACTTTCCTGACTCATCAAATCATTCAATGATTACTGTATCATTTGAAATCCAATAATCCAAGTTATTCCAATATCGGTTCATCAGTTACAACATCAAAGTCTTAAAATGCTTTCAAACACAAACAATTTTCCAAATTCAGGGACTTCAATTATCGATTTCCCCCCTATTTTGGGGGTCTTACTAAATAATTCAAATTCACTGTCACTTCAGCAAATACATTCTAGAATGGATCTTCAACGTGATGTGTGGCAGACAAATACTTCCATCTATAGTTACAACCACAATGAGGCAGTCTACACCCAGCTTGCCTGTATATACACATACACCAGCATCGCCAACTGAATGATTAAATTTATATTGTGTTCCACCTCCAATTAACATATTTCCTAGTTATGTATCAGATATGAAAACTAAAGAAAATTTTCAGATTAACAGTATCACTGACAAATCCATCATAAGAAACCAAGTAATGCCAAAAACTTTGAGGAATAAGATTGTGTTCATGCCATAACTGTTGAGTCGAATCCCTCGATCTAGTCCATTAGTTGCTCCATCCAAGTACATCAACCCTAGTGTAGGTACAAAGCTATCTAATTCAGAATTAAAATTTATCTCAATACCTGCTCTGTCAGCCAACCATACACCTTTACCGTCAGTGGTATTACGTCTGTGTTAGGGATTTAAAATGTAGTGGGAGTCAATCAGAAAAGGAGAAAAAACCTGGCAACCTGCCAACAATCTACATCAGCAAGAAAGATAAAAAGTCCAAATAGGGGAATGCATAATACTTGGTGCTGGCCGGTCATTATAATGTAGACAAATCATCAGGTCCAGCCTTCTATTTTGTGCCGTCAAAGACTGGTTACCATAATCAAATCACATTAACATTATACTAGAGATTATGATTACCCTTGCGTACATAAGTGGTTGAGTTAATGAAGCAAAAAAATAATTTTCATTTCATTGTAAGGCCAGAAATTAAATTAGTGAAAATGACATTGAATAATTTAAAAAAAAAAGTTTATATGACATAATTTAAAATACCAATCATTGTAATTTCACTTCCTTACCTTTTTTTAATTCTTTTGTAAGAAAACATGTAATTTTCTCATATAATCCTCAAGTAATGAAGTGGATATAAAAAAAAACTGTTTTAAGATTACTGAACACTAGCAGTCAATGGAATAAAACTGCTTGTAGTGATATGGTAAGATGAGTTAATGATCAGCCAGGTATTTAAAACTTTTAAGTGAAATTTTCAAAATTAGGAATACAATGATTGCGTTCTATCAGTTTTTCAAGTTCCAGACCCACTTTCAAATACTTGCTTTGTGTAATTATTCCCACTATTAGAAAAAGTAGATAGAAACATTCCCGATCTTGACCTTGGGATACGATACACATGTTACAGGATATTCTGGGATACAATTATCTGTGCTAATTCAGATGAGACTGAATGGATATGCCACAACGAACTCTTAACTACATTGATTTTAGTTCCTTTCCTCACATGAGGAAGTAAAAGGTGTTTTATCTGTAAATGTTGTTACAGAAGAAAACATGAAACACAAGATCAAATTCAATAGAAACTACACATTGTTCTACTATCTATATCTATTTCAATTCAGACGAGACATAAGCTAAGCTAATCTTAACAATCTCTTCTGAGCTATGCACCTTATAGATGTTTTCACCTGCTGTGCTGAAATCCTGATTTATTAATTTGTGAAGTACACAATAAAGCCTACCAAATGCCCAAGTTTTATCTAAGATTCCTTTTTTTTCAGTATTTTTCACAAACGAGCTGACAAAAAGAGGCCAAATAAATCCTATGGAAAGACAGGTGCAGGTGCATGGTTAACTAAGGTAGTAGTCCAGGCAGGTGGGCTAAAAGTATCAAGTTTATTACAGATAGAAACTTTAACAGAAATCATTATTATGAAACACAACACTATACCACTCTATAATGCAATATATTTACATACTGTATTTATCAAGTAAAAAATTTGTGATTTAACACACTTCCTATATAACTCAATATCAACGGGCAGACCCATTACAGGACGATGAAAAAGCAATTGTTGTTAGTTAACATATCGAACAGCAATTGATAGTAGTGGGCTTCTAACCAGAAATAGTTTTATTGGTACATGACTTTATCTAAGCCTCCTCTTGGTGGCAACATAATCACTGGCTGGCCAGACTTAGGATATTCTCATGTCCAACGAACATTGTTAGGATCCATTGGGTTTGGATTACTAATCGATAGTGCAGTGATGTCAGAATGAGATAGAAGAAAAACAATGGCTATCACTCCTTCTAGCACTGACATTCTACAATTGACATCTTCTTGAATATGTTATTGGGTTTTGTTTGTAATATTTGGGGGGAAAAGTCTATTTCATGGTAATGAGAATAAAATGCAAGTAAAACTGCTGAAAAAAAATGGTAAAAATAACCTTTGTTTTTTTCCAAATTTGATCCTGATTTAATTTGAGTTAATTTGTCTGTCAATCCTTTCCAAGGAAATTCTTGTAATATTCAACATTTGTGACAGCACAAATGACTAAATAATGTGACCTTACTACCAAATGACAACACAGACATCTCTTATTTCAAAGATAGTGATTATTACCTACAATCAAACCTTTTATAAATAGGATCAAGAACTGCTGGAGTCCTGGTATCTATAAATGCACCTTTCCTTCCCTGTCTGTTAAGGGAATACAAATCTTTAATATCTCCCTGAATGATAAAATAGCTGGCAACTTCAGGATGTCCTATAGAAAGTCATTCTCACCTTTTAGCAGACAGGAGCTTCCAAACAATATCCGGCATGGATGGTTTACTCATTCTTATTGACTTGTGATACAGTGTAGCACTATATACTTCCAAGCTAGTATGTTAGGCTGGACAGCCTCTGTCCTCCGACCACATTCATTCTAGGATAATAAGATCTTGACTTTCTGTATTGAAAGGTAGGATACAGAGTGTTAATCCCAGAATGATAGAATATCCCAGGATTGATTTGACACAAACTCTTTTGTTAAATTTCCAGTGAAAGGCTTGGTATGACTCCAAAAATCCAGAACATGTAATTGCTGTTAGTAAAAGCCAGAGACATTTCTCGCATGCTGTGAAGAGCAGTGATATAAACAGATGCTACAAAAGATATATATCCCATAACCACTATATTAAATGGCCTGTCCACCAGTAAATATGTGTACACAGCTACAGGTTATTTGCTTCCTTGTCCTAATCCTTCAGTTTAAACAATATGAATTCCATTCAATGACTCTTATAATGGCTTTCTGAAGCACTTCACAAGGGTAGAACCTACTCAATGTGATAAAATATCTAGAATCCAAACAAATTCATGGCAGAATGCATTAATCCATGGACAGCTGGTGGTACCAATATTGTCAGCAAGTCACCAATGTCTGTATCGGTTCTCTAGAATTTATCTTTTACTGTTTTTTCCGTGATGATTGCTGAGGTTTGTTATAAAACTTCCTGTTGTGCCAGTCAATGATGAGGTGGACCAGCAGGAAAAGTGAATAGAGCAGTAGAGGTAAAATTTCAGTAGTGACACACCAACAAGATAGATTTCTGTGACAAGTCCTCGTCAACAAAATAAAGACAAGGCAACAAGAAAACACACAGAAAAATTAATCAGCACCCAACAATAAATATCTAGCTAAAATTTAATCTCAAGG